ATAATAAAATAAAATAATACAAATAATAAATTTATAGTTAAAAACATTTAGTCTTCCCAGGTTTTAAGTTAGCTGGTTTCTTTATATTTTATAAGGGATTTTTTAAGTAAGGGTATATTAAAAAGACCGACACAGAAAGAAAAAGCTCGTCACATCCTAAGCACAGTTTTCACTTGGCTAACGGTTCAATGAACCGTTACGTCTAGCTTAGCCAGCGAGAAGGACCCCTTGCCTCCAGCACCCTGCACCCGTTCTTGCCACCCACCTACCGCCCCCCACATCACCCACTTGAAGCTTGTTTTCTCTGCTAAGTGATGTTTGACTGCTGTTTCCTTTTGTTGCCACACAATGCAAATGGCGGACGGACGCATTTTCGCTATCCTCTATCCCTGACTCCCTAATCGCCCTTCCCCCATCCCCCCTATCCCTTTTAGCCAAGGTGGCCGCACCTCAAGCCAGCTTAAAGGTCAACATGTGACCTTCTATCCATCTATCTATCTATCTATCCAACTAACTATCTTCCTTGCTCGTTCTATCTGCTACAGTCCAACTTCAGTAAAGTAAACTCTTCAATGCTTACCTTTGCATTTTTAGATCATCTTACATTTAAACGTGTTTATCCCAGTCCTACAAATCAATCTCAATTTAGCTCTGACTCAAACTCACTAGTTTTATTATATTGCTTTTGCTCTATTTTTTCATTGTATTATAATTTATTATACTGTAATTTGGCGAGTTTAAAAAAGCCTTACTAAATTACTTGAGAACAATATACTATTATGGTGTTAAGAGAATAGATAAATTAGAATTAGGTAAACTAAATTAAATTGTCTAATTAAAGAATAGTTTCAACCCAAATTATAGTGTGCTGTTTTGTTTGTTGAAGTGTTACTGTAACGCTCAGTATACCTGCTACTTTGTTTGTGTTTGCATGCAATTATAGCGTTTCCCATCGATTAAACGCATTTTCCCACCCCCTCTGCCCCACTCCCACCCCCTCGCGCCGCAGTGTTGCTGCCTTCTAGTTTTGCCTTTGACTTCTATTTTTAAATTTTTTCGCACTAAAAAAAAAAAAAAAAGAAAAAAAACCACAAACCAAAACACACTGGCGGCCGAACGAATAACTAAAACAAATTGTCTGCATTGCATGTACTGCAGTATTAACCAGATATAGAAATTGGAATAGATCTATATTTGTTTTATGCAAATGTAGCAAACCAAACAGACAATGTTTATGTCATTATGAGGCGCAAACTGTAAATAGTAATCTGAGCAAGGCTAAAAGCACACAGACGAAAATGGAATAAAAATATATACGCGCGTATTGGAAGCCTCGTGGGCGTTTTTAGGGGTCTTAAATTCTGCGGGAGAAGTTTTTATGAGGCTGCTAGAATTTTGTTTAAATTAATGGAGGAGCTATAACAGAAATGCTTGGAATTTGTATTAAAGTTTATGAAGTTTAACCGAAAGAATGTATTTAGTATTTGGATATCCTTAAGACAATTTATGACGTGAATAAATACATCAATTACTGATGGTTTCGAATAATTGAAAAGTATGTAAATTAACTTGAATTGATTAAAATAGTACATATAGGTTGGAGATATTTCTTTAAAGGGTCTGAATTATTCCTCTCCCAAGAACCTCTCAAGAGACCAATATTTTATTTACTTACAAAGATAAATGATGATAATATTACAATTTTTGGTTCCTTCTTTTGTCCTCTCCAGACGATGTGGATCGCCTTAAGCCACAGAAGCGAGGATTCATCCAATCTCTGCTTTGCTGCTGGCGACGAAACCGAACGAAAACCAACCAGAATGGCACACAAATCGATGGTTCGACAACACCGCCACCATTACCGGACCAACAAAGGTACCTACTACCTCAAGTTAGGCTCACCGATATGCACAGAAAGTGCATGGTGATCGATTTGGATGAGACCCTAGTGCACAGTAGTTTTAAGGTAAGTGAACCTCCGCAATCCCTACCGATTTCTCATAATAACATTGGGTGTTTTGTTAATATGTAGCCCATACCGAATGCTGATTTCATAGTTCCAGTGGAGATCGATGGGACCGTACATCAGGTGTACGTTCTGAAGCGACCGCATGTGGACGAGTTTCTGCAGAAGATGGGTGAACTGTACGAGTGCGTTTTGTTTACAGCATCACTAGCCAAATATGCAGATCCTGTTGCCGATCTGTTAGACAAGTAAGTCACTGTATTTTATTAGAAAAAATGTATTAATAAACTATTTCCTTTTCAGATGGAATGTGTTTCGTGCAAGACTGTTTAGGGAATCATGCGTTTATTACAGGGGTAATTACATTAAGGATCTGAATCGTCTAGGACGGGATTTGCAAAAGATTGTCATCGTCGACAATTCACCGGCCAGTTATATCTTTCATCCAGACAATGCAGTAAGTAGAAAAGTACCCTATAATTATAGAGCATCTTAAAGCTTATGTTTGTTTTCCTTGAAAGGTTCCTGTTAAATCCTGGTTCGACGATGTGACCGACTGCGAACTGCGTGAACTGATCCCGCTCTTTGAGAAGCTTAGCAAAGTTGATTCCGTCTACTCGGTGCTCTGCAATTCGAACCAGCCGCTGAACAATCAGACCAACCAGCAGCATCCCCAGGAGCTGCAGCAGGCGCCGAACCAGCTGCACCAGCAGCAACAGCAGCAGCAACAGACCATCTCTGCCACGACAGTTATTACCCAGGCAACCACTCTGTCTGCTCCGACCATGTTGAACCAACAGCAGCCAAGTCCGCCCAGCCCACAAAGCGAGCTGCTGCAAAAGACGTAACATCAGTGGGAACTAATGTTTATAAATATATGATAAATTGTATACATATTACAAGACCAAGCAAGCCAATAAGCAAGCAAACAAACACCTCCCTTTTCCCCTTCCCTCTGCGCTGCTCTTCACTCACTAACCCTGGATGAAAGAAGACGGGGTGACGAGATGAAACCAACTACCATTTGCTATATACTATAACCCCCCGCTCGATACCTAGGCTAAGCATAAGTTTTATATGATATACATAATTTTTACAGAACCCTATTTACACGGCACATTTGTTATTTATTTTTTGTTTTGCTCTACCAATTATAACTATTATTATTTTTTTGTGTTTTTTTTAAACAACTGCTAATTGCTAATGCGTTTTTGCGGTACCCCGTCTAAGGGGTATAATAAGCCTCTACTTTTACCCAATAATCATAACTCTGTAAGCATATTTAATGGAAAACCAACTGAGCAAGCAAAAGATTTAAAAGCATAAAACAAAAATGATAACTATACATATGAGCAGAGAGATAAAATCAAATTTAAATAGCTATATTTATATATATTTTTTATTAAAAAAGAAAACGAAACAAAAAGAATTAAGAGTAAAAGGGGCGACGATGAGAAAGCAGAAAGAAAACTTAAAACAAAAATATTTAATATGAGTACTAAAAGAAATTTATATATACATACATGGATATATATTTAAGGCATGTGTCTACACATGTTAATAGCGCTAAGGCATGTATAATATTTCGTATATTTATTAAAGAAATCAGTTTAAACGCGGTCACCCACTCACGTTTGATCGCTGGCACTGGCAAATGTCAAAGTTAGTAGATCGGGTTTATCGCGGGGATGGCATCGTATCACATTCTGGTTTCCTGAAATGTCTGTCGATCGTTAGTGGTTGGTCGCGTGTAAACGAGTTTAAGTTGCATTGCAAGAGGGTGAAAATGGGCTATCTGTAAGCCACTTTGTAAAGCATCTAAATGTCTGCGGCTCGTCCGTAGTTAATATATAACAAAAACCACTGAGACTGCGCTTGTCTGTGACCCAAAGTCCCGAATTTCAATTCGATCCTATTCTGTGTACTCACATTCAATCCGATCTGGTATTAAGATTAAACCCAATGTCCTAGCGCAAATTCAGATTCCCGTCTTTGGGACTCAGGCAAGCGCAGTTGCAAAACATTGTACTAGGCTTAAATGGAAAAAATTATACATCTATATATTTTAACCAAACTTATGTTAATTTCCCCTCTTATCAAGTGCGCTTATGAAACGCATTGCAATATATATTTACGTCTACTTTAACCCTTCTTTAACTTGAACTTCACCTTCGGCCGCGATCTGTATTCTGTGTTAGCATGTGAAAACGGCAATCGATTGTAAACGATGAAACACCAATAGCTTCTTTCAACTCCGACCAAATATCAATCATTATATAGTATATATATGTATATATATATTGAGCTCAAGCTGGCCACGCCGAAATCCCACCTGATAAATATTATATATAGACAAAAGACGCTAATGCTATCCAAACTACACGACACGCTCACAGACCAGTTCAGATCTTCTTTCAATCTTTTACTCTCTATGTAATGTCTATGTCATGTATTTCTCAACTAACTTTTGCAACAATTCTTTTTTAGTGCATAAGCCTTTGTGTTTTTAATTTGCTTAAACTTAAAATAATAATATCGGAAGGAAACAAAAATTGGCACGTTGCAAACGCGCAAAATTCTCATATTTTTTGCAATCGAGCAAGTAAATTATACATAATGCTAAAATAATATATGTATTGTATATCATTTACACCCGCTGCAAAAGTCTAAAGCAAAAGCTAAACAAAAAGGATTGCAACTAAACACAAAATTGAAGTGTAAAATGCGATTACGTGTTTTAATTGCGTATATTTAAATGTTTTACTTTTAATAAAAGCAAAACAAAAACCAACCGATAAATCATTCAACTTAATTTATCATAAATGGAAAGAAATTCTATTTTTAAAGTGAGCCTATAAATGTAATGCATCAATGTCGACAACAAAAACATAATAAAAACAAAAAATGAAATTTAAAATCTACAAATATTATGTCATCAAACAATAAAAACAAATTAAAACCCAATTCGAAGCGACTTTTTATTTCATTGAGCAAATTGGCAAGCAACCCTTTCATTCATTCAAACAATATTGTCTATTTGAATACGGAATAAAGTTCTATTTATTATTCAAATTTGTTTTTAACGCACATTGTTACACATACATACAGACACCTCGAGCTCACAATTCCCATCGTTCTACACACTATTTAATACATTCATTTATATATCTTTAGTTAAATATATTTGTCTTGAACTTAGCTGCTAAACTAAAGATGTAGGCAATGGGGCTGATTTGCTTGGTTTTCATTAAATAGGCCAAAAACACTTAATTATTACGTTTATATGCGCCATCCTTTTTGGGGGCTGGCTTAATGTTAGATCGTGATCGGTTGAAATAGTCTTTTGAAAGCTTTTTTCGTGTTAGCAATGCGAGCGAAAGGAATATACAAAATGGATTTGAAACATATAACTTTCTTAGCAAATCGCTTCATTTCCATCTCCATCATTATTTGTATAATCTCAAATACAAAATACCTCGAAAAAGTTGTGTTTTTTTATCAATATTTAGTACATAGTTGAAAATGTTTGCTTAGCGATTCTTCATGTTAAATTTGTTTGTAGACTTCGTTTGAATTAATATTTAAATGCATTTAAGTAACGTGTTACAATTACAACATATTTTATTCATTGCTATGCGTGTTGTTCTCAGGTTGCTGAAATTCCTTTTACTTTATAATTAGATAATTTCATAGCTATATGGGTTTATATAAATATGCAATTTGTTATCGATTTGAGGCTGTAGTTGCACTTTAACATTTACTTAAATGATTTTCTGACTAGACTAGTGCATAATTAGAATTGGATCGCATTTAGAATTTATTCATTATTTGTTTAAGTATGCTAGTGCTTGGTATCAATTGGTTAATTTGTCGTCGCTATATTTTTATTGGTAATATATTGGGAACCTTTGCTTGCCGTACCTAAAGCGAAGTCGTCGATTTTAGAGAGCTGCCAGTGTCTCCAAGTTCCTGAAGACTGCGTATTTCCGAATTTTCACTATTAGTTTACATTTCTCTTATACATAATGCTCAATGTTCCAGCCCGCCTAAGACCGACTTCGCTCAGATTTCACCTTCGTGCAAATCCCCTAAAACGTGTACAAAGTTTTAGTTTGCTTGTTATTTCGTTTGGTTTTTCTTCTGGTTGTGTGCGCTTTACAATTTAATATCTCAGTAGGTGAATCGAAATCTTGAATATTGCACTCTTAAACAAACTCTGGTTTTGATTATGGTTGCATTGGTAAATTTGTTCGGTGTTCATTTGCTTACGTTTGCATTTAGTTTTTTTTTTTTGGTATACAAATACTTTAAAGGACAAAAAGGTTTTGTGTACTTTCGGCTTATGATCGAAGAGTAAGAAATACGCAGAAATGTACAGAGTAATTACAGTAATACATGAATAATATGTACGTAAGTAAAGGGCCTTGACCCCCAACTCGATCATCCGATATCGGTCAGCGATGACGCTTCTGTCTTGGTTGTGTAGAATTCTTCTCGGCGAATATATAGTTTTGCATCAGTTCAGCGTGGACCAATTAAAATAGTTAACGGAAATGAAACGGTTTCGTTTTTGAGGAAGAGAGAAAAAGCAGTAGCGGACTCTCTAAAGCATTTGGTGTCGATTGTTAAACATGCGCGATGGGCATCTGAAGCGTCTTCGCATCCCGATAGGACTTATCCTACACGTACTGGTGGTCACCGGCCATTCCATCTGGGCAGTCAACGCTCAGCAACGGCTCCTTCTCGATGGTCTGATGCGTCTGGGCATCGTAATCGTAGTAGTTCATCCAGTCCACACGCTTCGGCTGCACCAATCCAAAGCAACTGCACTCGAGGAAGTCGATGAGGTTCTGGATGGGCCCACGTGTGAATGGGCTGTGGCCGCCCTTTGCCTGGAAGTGGCGATAGCGACCCCGATTCATGCGCTCGTTGGTGGTCATGCCAAGGCAAATCACCTGATATGTCTGGCAGATGGTCAACAGGATCACCCAGGACATGTGCAGTAGGGCGTTGCCCATGACCCAGCCCACCCAGGCATCGCAGTTACCAATGGCCCGCATGGCACCGAGGAAATCTGCGAAAGACTTGAATTTTATAGGAATTCTTAGAAAAATCAAACTGTAATCTCACCATCGAATCGGACATTGCACTGGTTCACATAGTATTTGGAACCACCGTACAGCATCCAGACGCACATAATCAACAGCATCCAGAGGAAGCCCATAAAGTAGCTGTGGTTCTTCAGCCCAATGCAATTGCCCACCCAGGGGCAGTGGTGATCGAATCTCGCCACACAGCGATCGCACACGGAGCAGTGCTTGGAGCGTATAGGTCGCCGCACCAGACAGCCAGAGCAGAAAGATGCCGGTTCAAAACCAATTCCACCTCGCTCAGATAACTCGATGATGGTCTGTAAACATAAATTGATTATAGGTTACTTGACATGGTATAACAGAGAAATATAACTTAATTACCTTAAATCTCTGCTCCCTGGTGGGTCGAATAATACCAGGATCTCCCTTCCAAGATTTGAGGAAGCACACCCACAAGGCCAGCGAGGAGATCAGGAAGCAAACTGTGGCCGTAAACGAAACTGCATCGTCGATGTACATCAGCCAGGTGACATAGAACCAGGCTTTGGTGGCCAGGTAAACGCTCAGCGGCAACAGGGCCATCAAATGCTCATCGAACAAGGCCTTGCCGATCGTGTGGAATATGGCATACAAGCAGCCCAAAAGAAAGAACTTGATAATGTACAGCGTGTTCACGGTAAACACAATGCCAGCCAGATAGAAAGCAGTAAAGGGGCAGGCCACCATGGACCACCATCTCAGGCGTTTGTCGTGCCGCAGCTTGGAGAGCAGCGATCGGCGTTGCTGCGAGGTGAGCGCCGCCTCTTTTACGCGATCCATCACCTTGGCCCCAATCCAAATGGCTCCCGACTGGGATTCCAGCATTGAGAGCGGCGTCTCGCCTCGCAGATTGGGCACATCCAGCGAGGCCTTCGACTTGAGCACCAGTGTGGAAATGGCCGTGGCATTCCGGGCCAGAATAGCCCAATGTAGGGCCGTGTTTCCATGAGTGTAATCAACCATGGCGGGATTCGCTCCGAGGGTCAGCAGCAAGCGCACGGGATCCAAAGCGCAAACCTTGAAAACAAAACGATCATTTTAAAACTTTTTTAAAACTTCCCAAGGTTAAAGTTCTTTAAAAACTTTTAGAAGTTGTAATCTTGTTATACATATATATTTTGTTGTATTTTGTGAAAATGGTTTCACTCTGGTTTCACACTTGTAAGTATTCTTTAGAAATATGTTTGTGAGTGAGATGCAGTAATCCATTCACACCAAACTCTTTTCAATAATTTAAAATTACAAAAACTTATTTTATCTTAAATTTACTTTCTTAAAAAATGCCAAGAACCAAACCCACCTTCCATGCTGCCCACATCAGCGCCGTCATTCCGCCCCGATCCTGGAGATCCGGATCCACGCCTTTGGCTATGAAGTAGGCCACCAGTGCGGTATGTGCGAATTGGGCGGCGATGTGTATGCAGGAGCACCCCTCCGCATCCCGAATCCTGGGATCGGCTCCCGCCGCCATCAGTAGAACGACGGCACCGAGATGTCCCTGCCGGGTTGCCCAGTGCAGGGGCGTGGCATTCAGTTCACCGCCCACGGCGTCCACGGTGGCTCCCTTCTCGAGGAAGTATCGGATGATATCCCGCCGATTGTTAATTGCCGCCCAATGAAGTAGGGTCACGGTTTCGCTGTCCGGCTGATTGACATCCCAGCCGGATTCGACCAACTCCCGGACTCGAGCGATTGCCCCATACTGGGTAGCCTTAACGATATCGAAGCCACTGTAATCGGGCTCCACGGGCGCGGTGGGGGGTTGTTGGGCTATGAGTGCCGACTGGCGCTCATTATCCGGCTGCTGACCGGTTCCCGGGACACAGGAGCCCGTGGTGGCCGCCTGGCAGGCACTCTGGTACATCGCTAGCTTCACTGGGTTCCCTTGGGTCCGTCCAAACGTGATTCACACTGCGCTGTGCTGCTCGTAACATCAACCGTCCATCCCCCCTCCTTCCAGCGGACGAGCGGGCGAGTGAGCGAGAGGGGTGAGCGGATGGCGAGCGATAGAGAGAGAGGGAGACAGTAGGAGAGACACCCCCACCAGGCACTGTTTCGGGCGAATCACAGGTTTGTCATTTTTCCCTCTGTCTGACGACTGCAGTTGCTTGGTCCGTCGTAATCCTGATTGCGTTTCTCGCGAGGATCTCCTCGACACTTCACGAATATCGCGGTTGTTTTTTGCGTTTTACCTTCCAATTTTGGAGGACTAAGCGATTTTGGTGGTACAAGCTGATAGCACTGCTTGCGGTTGAGCGTTTTTCAACACTGTCACGGGGAATTTCGCAACTTTTTTGGTATTTTTATATCAGGGTTGTTGTATTCTCCACCAAAACTATTTTTAAATTATATTTAAATTAAAAATTATACATTATATTTTACTTATTATACCACTTGTTTTGGTAATTGTTTACAAGTGCTGTGCACGGTAAAAACAGCTTAAAAAAAATAAAGTAAAATATGGAAATGATGTGTTTTTTTGTTGTTTTTTTCTAAATAATTTATTGCAAAAATCTAAAATGTACAATATTTTGCTAATCGTTTTAAACTTGCAATTTACATTAACCTATGTATAAGGCTAATGTTCAGATTCTGTTTTAAATTATTCTTCGCTAGTGAATAGGGCGCAAGCACATATGCACATGTTAATAAAACACACATTTTAAGACGTTTTCCAATAAATTTTGAACAATTTTTCCGATAAGCCGCTGTTCTGAACATCCCTACAATATAACAATTTAAATAGAGAAACAAATTTTCTTATTATAATTCCTTTACCATATGCAAATTTAAATTTAAAGTGCACTTGTTGTTTGCTGACTGCGGTCACACTAACTTGAACCACCTGCAAAAGCGCGCCTAATTTTTTGGCATCATCAATTTTTATCTTATGTTTTTGCAATAAACATAATACTTGGGTGCCGAAATGGATGCCAAACGCAAATTTAATGGAACCTCTAATGGCCAGGCCAAAAAACCTCGGTAGGCTTACCACACTGAAGTATAAAACACATTACATGTTAACTCTTACAGGAATTTCGATGATGATGAGGAAAATAACTTTGAGGCAGAGCTGGCTGCATTCGAAAACTCTGAGGAGATGGACCAGACCTTGCTACTGGGCGATGGACCTGAGAATCAGCAGACCAGCGAGCGTTGGTCCCGACCACGACCTCCACAACTAGATCCCTCAAAGGACGGCTTGGAGTTTCAGCAGTTAGATGTGGAAAATTATCTGGGCCAACCGCTTCCAGGGATGCCGGGTGCGCAAATAGGACCCGTGCCGGTGGTACGAATGTTTGGCATCACTATGGAGGGCAATTCCGTGTGCTGCCATGTTCATGGCTTTTGTCCGTACTTCTATATCGAAGCACCCAAGAAATTCGAAGAGCGCCATTGCGAACAACTACAAAAAGACTTGGATCAGAAAGTTATAGCCGATATTCGCAATAATAAGGACAATGTACAGGAGGCTGTGTTAATGGTTGAACTGGTGGAGAAGTTGAATATCCACGGTTACAACGGGGACAAAAAGCAGAGGTACATTAAGATCTCGCTGACACTGCCTAGATTCGTGGCTGCCGCCTCACGTCTGCTCAAAAATCAGGTGATCATGTCGGAGATTGACTTTCAGGACTGCCGTGCCTTTGAAAATAATATAGATTTCGATATTCGCTTCATGGTGGACAATGGAGTGGTGGGCTGCAATTGGATTGAGTTGCCCAAAGGCCACTGGCGACTAAGAAACAGCCTCAGCAAGCCCCTGCCCGAATCCCGCTGTCAAATCGAAGTGGACGTTGCCTTTGATAGGTTTATATCCCACGAACCCGAGGGCGAATGGTCAAAGGTTGCTCCCTTCCGCATCCTTTCCTTCGATATTGAATGCGCTGGTCGTAAGGGAATCTTCCCCGAAGCTAAAATGGATCCAGTCATTCAGATAGCAAATATGGTGATAAGGCAAGGCGAGCGTGAACCTTTCATCAGGAATGTTTTTACCTTGAATGAGTGTGCTCCCATTATTGGCAGTCAAGTGCTTTGCCACGAAAAAGAAACCCAAATGCTGGACAGGTGGGCTGCCTTCGTCCGAGAAGTCGATCCTGATATTCTGACGGGCTATAACATCAACAACTTTGATTTCCCATACTTACTCAATCGGGCAGCGCACTTGAAGGTGAAGAACTTTGAGTATTTGGGCAGAATCAAGAACATCCGTTCGGTGATCAAAGAGCAGATGCTACAGTCCAAGCAGATGGGCCGTCGGGAGAACCAGTATGTTAATTTCGAGGGACGGGTTCCCTTTGATCTTCTGTTTGTCCTGTTGCGCGACTACAAATTGCGATCATATACACTAAACGCTGTGAGCTATCACTTTCTGCAGGAGCAAAAGGAGGACGTGCATCATAGCATCATCACGGACCTTCAGAATGGAGATGAGCAAACACGGCGCCGTTTGGCCATGTACTGCTTAAAAGATGCCTACCTACCGCTACGACTGCTGGAGAAACTAATGGCCATTGTGAACTACATGGAAATGGCCAGGGTAACGGGTGTGCCGCTAGAGTCTCTGCTCACCCGTGGTCAGCAGATAAAAGTATTAAGTCAGTTGTTGCGCAAAGCTAAAACCAAAGGATTTATAATGCCGTCGTATACCTCTCAAGGATCGGATGAACAGTACGAGGGAGCCACTGTGATTGAGCCCAAACGAGGCTACTATGCCGATCCCATCTCCACACTGGATTTCGCCTCGCTGTACCCAAGTATTATGATGGCACATAACTTGTGCTACACCACTCTGATCTTGGGTGGCACTCGGGAGAAGCTAAGGGAGCAGGAGAATATCCAGGACGATCAAGTGGAGCGCACACCGGCCAACAATTACTTTGTGAAATCGGAGGTGCGTCGAGGCCTCCTTCCCGAGATCCTGGAATCGCTGCTGGCAGCCAGAAAGCGGGCCAAAAACGACCTTAAAGTGGAAACTGATCCGTTTAAAAGAAAGGTTTTGGATGGCAGGCAGCTGGCGTTAAAAATCTCCGCTAACTCCGTATATGGATTCACAGGCGCTCAGGTGGGAAAGTTACCTTGTCTAGAGATTTCTGGCAGTGTTACCGCCTATGGACGTACCATGATTGAAATGACCAAAAACGAGGTGGAGTCGCACTACACCCAGGCCAATGGCTACGAGAACAATGCGGTGGTCATTTACGGCGACACGGATTCCGTGATGGTTAATTTTGGCGTTAAAACACTGGAGCGAAGCATGGAGTTGGGACGCGAAGCAGCAGAGCTTGTGAGCTCCAAGTTTGTGCATCCCATAAAACTGGAGTTCGAAAAAGTGTACTATCCGTATCTCCTGATCAACAAGAAACGCTATGCGGGCTTGTACTTTACGCGTCCAGAGACCTACGACAAAATGGACTGCAAGGGCATTGAAACCGTGAGGAGAGACAACTCCCCACTGGTGGCCAACCTGATGAACTCCTGCCTGCAGAAACTGCTCATTGAAAGGGATCCCGATGGAGCAGTGGCCTATGTTAAACAGGTGATAGCCGACCTCCTGTGCAACCGGATAGACATCTCGCATCTGGTCATCACCAAGGAGCTGGCGAAGACGGATTACGCAGCTAAGCAGGCACACGTCGAGCTGGCTGCCAAGATGAAGAAAAGGGATCCGGGTACGGCTCCCAAGTTAGGCGATCGAGTTCCTTATGTGATCTGTGCGGCAGCTAAAAATACTCCAGCTTATCAGAAGGCAGAGGATCCGTTGTACGTTCTGGAGAACAGCGTGCCCATCGATGCTAATTATTATCTGGAGCAGCAACTATCGAAGCCCTTGCTAAGGATCTTTGAACCTATTTTGGGGGACAATGCTGAATCCATTTTGTTGAAAGGAGAGCATACACGCACTCGAACTGTGGTCACGTCCAAAGTGGGTGGCTTGGCTGGCTTTATGACCAAGAAAACCTCCTGCTTGGGCTGCAAATCTTTAATGCCCAAGGGGTACGAGCAGGCCTGCCTGTGTCCACATTGCGAGCCACGGATGAGTGAGCTCTACCAGAAGGAGGTGAGCGCGAAGAGGGAACTGGAGGAGCACTTCTCCCGCCTCTGGACCGAGTGCCAGAGGTGTCAGGAATCCTTGCATGAGGAGGTGATTTGCTCGAATCGAGATTGCCCCATCTTCTACATGCGACAAAAGGTGCGCATGGATCTGGACGCACAGGAGAAGAGAGTGCAGCGTTTCGGACTGCCCGAGTGGTGATCGATGCATGAATTTACCGATTTACTGAATTGTTTAATCCTATAATTTAATAATTATATTACTAGAAGTTATTACAAAGTTTTTTTTTTAGGTTCGTGGATTTTTTGCGCAATATGCAATTTGAAAAAAGCTGTAGACGTTTCCTAGCTGGCGATGCTTTGGACATACATTTTTACACAGGGGTTTGGGGGACTGAGACTGGCTAAGGTTTTACTTGCGACTCTGCAGGGTGTTGGACAGCCAGTCCATGGCCTGGTCGAGACCCTCGCCCTTGGTGGCCGATGTTTTGAATATTTGAAATGTGCGGTTTTTAAGGTTCTCCAGCCCTAACGCATGATGCACTTCGGCGACGGTCATGCACCCGTCCATGTCCTGCTTGTTCGCCAGGACGACCAGTATCGCGCCTGCTAGCTCCTCCTCGCGCAGCATGTAGAGCAGCTCATCCTTAGAAATGCCTATGCGGTCCCGATCCGCCGAGTCCACCACGTAGATGATGGCGTCTGTGTTGCTGTAGTAGCAACGCCAGTAGGGTCTGAAATAATAATAAAAATAGTTAATATTTTGATATACTGGCAGCAGTTGAGTTTTATTTGGCACCAAAATGTTCTTAGCTCTACATTCTTAAAAAAATTATCGGATCAATAATTCAAAATTAAGATTATTTTTGAGAATTAAAAGTTTTGAATTTTAGAAATTTAACTTCATTGCATTCATTAATTTTTTTAAAAGAAATTTATAGATAATACTATATCAAAATGTGGATATAAAAAGTCTGATTTGGAAATACATATAACATTTTTTTTTATCTCATTTCCAAAAATAGTTTCGCCAAAAACGAGTAGGGCTTATAAAACATGGAAATCCATTAAACCAATTATGTCCTGGAATCCGTAACGGCCACTCACCTAATACTTGTCTGTCCGCCTAAATCCCACACCTGGAACTTGAGGTTCTTGTAGGTGACCTGCTCCACGTTGAATCCGATGGTTGGTATCGTAGTGACCACCTCGCCCACTTGCAGTCTGTAGAGGATCGTGGTCTTGCCAGCGCCATCCAGGCCCAGGATCAAGATGCGCATCTCCCGGGAGCCGAGCAATCCGCGAAAGTAGCTGAGCACCCCACCTGGAATGAAGGAACGTACGATTTTTATGACCAGACATCGTCACCGGGTGTTGTCCAATCGGAAGATTCAATTTCCATGGACTACGTACCCATGATTCCGGCTGAACTTTGTCTAGTGCTGGCGCTGCCTCTAAATGCTTGAGTATAAACCTAGGTAATTGTATTCGGTGCTACAATTAATACAAAATTGAAACAATCTTGTTTTCACTTTTTTTTTTGGGCAGAGAATGGTTGCGTTTTTGCCATTCACAGGCCACGTGAACATGACGTGTCACAGCGTGCGTTCAGCAGTTAAATATTAATCACGAATTTTTTTAAAATAAATATTAATATTATATTTGATAATAATAAATAAATAATTTATTAACTTTTCGCTTTTTTGACAAGATAATATTTAAAAAAATACTAATGGTGACTTTGCTGAACGCGCCCAGCCTTATTGCCGGTTGTCAGAGTTGCCACCCCTACGTGACTTTTGTTATAGAGACGGCCGCCATTAGAGTTTTGCTGTCGCGTCGCGTTGAGAAAAGTGTGAAAAACCTTCTAAAAACCGTGGTAATAGGTAATACTTTCGGTCAGAAATAGAGCAGTGCGGTTCCCTACACCGTGCGCGATAAGAATAACATTGAATTTGCCCCTTTTGGCGGGTGTATTGTTGTTTATTTTTATGTTTGCACCGGACTGCGCAAAAAAGTGTGCCGAACGACGACTGCAAAAAAATCAGCTTCGATTACATATCGTGGCTGTATGTTTTATATTGTTGTTAAATACAGTGCATTGACGTGTGTTCTTTTTGCAGATAACGCTGCACAAGTTGGTTGGCTATTATTGGAAGGATTCTCTCTGTAAAGCGCATAAAAAGGAGCTGAAAATATGGCCTCGCCCTCTCCGGCGAACAGTCCCATGCCACCGCCACAGGCGCCCAGTCCGATGGCTCCGCCCTCGCAGAGCCCTGCCCCCTCACCGCACAGCCCCTACCCGCATCAGCAGCCAGGACCTCTGCAAGGACCCCCCGCCCCCGGGTCATCCCGGTGCCTACGGACATCCCATGCAGCACGGACCACCGGGACAAGGTCCTCCCGGTCACCATATGCCACCACATCACCAGGGGATGAGTATGTTAACCAGCTTACCCACAGCAACGTCGCCTTATTCGCATGTAATTATCCGTAGTTTTCTCAAAAGGTCCTCACATGGGAATGCAGATGCCGCCGACGGGGCCGAATATGTCGCCAATTGGTTACCAAACTCACGGAATGCCTCCCAATGTAAGTGCCACTTAAGTCGTCCTTTAAGGACAACCAAAATAATTCTTATTTCTCTGCCTCACTAACATTCCAAACGATTGATGAGTTTAAAATTAGAATTACTCATTTTGGAGTTGTTTATTTATGGTGTTTATTCATATGTACTTAGTTAATATTTTTTAAAATTGGTAGAGTTTATAACATATGTTTATATGTAGAAGCAGACGTCTCTTAACCTCCACGCAGAATAGTTAAACAATATTTTCCGAAATTTGTATAGGGATTTATTTTGGCAGCTCAAGGCTTAAAATTAAAATAACAAAATCATAAAAAGTTATTTTCAAAAAGGCTAAACGAAGAGTTGTTTGCTTTCCCGCCATTTTTTGTGTATCGTGTCTACCAGCTGCCGGCGATCAAAGCTGGAATATATCTAAAAGCTCACCATAATAAGAGCTTCCAACGATAAGTGCCAGTTCAGCTGACCTTATTGTGAAGCAATTTTGAGTTTTGTGCCAACATTATTTTGGCACTGGCTTGTCTCCCACTGACTCCTCCTGATCACCCTTGCGCAGCAGGTCCTCGATTTCCTTGCGTAACTTCTCCGTTCCGGCGCAAATAAGATCTGGTTTCATAATGTCAAAGGGTCCGCCAAAAGGATGTGTTACCACGCCTCCCGCCTCTTTTACTAACAGGGAACCAGCGGCACAATCCCAGGGATACATGTCCTCAATGTAGAAGGCATCCAGATTGCCAGCTGCCACCATGCATAGCTCATCTACCACGCAGGAATAGGCTACAAGTCTGAAAATAAGTAGGGAAATATTTAGGTTTATTTACACTTTTAGTAACAAAATCGACTCAAAAACTAAAAGACGAATTAGATCATACAAACTGTATAAATATTTTTTATTTATGTCAGAACAATGGGTTATGGTATCGCTTTTGAAGCAAACAAATTAACCAATCAATTGAGCATCTATATGTACATATGTTCCTTATAGTAATTGCAAGACTCTTTCGATTTGATCGATGGAATGCAAAGCGATTGAAGCTTTAAATTAAGCTTTGACTGGTTAATTGTTTTGTACGCAGATAACGTTTGTATAAACGAAAGCAAACAAAATGTTTTTTATGTTTTCCAGCCTTAAAGAAAGTTATTAAAACAACTGAATACTAACTCACCGTCTAGCATTTAATCCCACATGGTAGATTCTTTTGATGTGCTTGTTGGCCACCGAGTGAACGTGCAGCAATGACACTTCGTAGGCCACATTGGCATCCTTGACGCTTTCGCAGTTGCTAACGTGGATGGGCTTGCCATTGCAAAAGGCACCCTGACCCAACTTGGTGGTGAAGAGCTTTTGCTGGACAGGATTGTTGATCACCCCCACAACGATCTGTTTGTTGATGGACAAACCAATAGAAACACAAACGTGTGGGATCTGTTTGATGAAATTCGAAGTGCCGTCGATGGGATCGATGATCCAGGTGGGTGCATCCGTCAGTTCGCCGGAGACATTGTTGTTCTTGGCCGTTGCCTCCTCACCAATGAACTTGTGCTCCGGATAAGTGGCCAGTATCTTGGCCATGAGAAAGTCCTCGATCTTGTTGTCGTAATCGGTGACCACATCGTAGAAATCGCCCTTGATCGAGACATTTTTACTGGCCATCTCGTATCCCTCCATGAGGATCTTGCCCGCCTCGATGGCCAGTGGATAGATAAAGTTGTACAACTCCTCGATATCCGCTTGATTCACTTCTGCCATTTTGAAGATATTGTATTTCCAGACCAAAAAAACAAAACCGATGCGTTGCTGCTCAGCTCGCGGTGCCAACTAATCAGAGAGATTGTGCCCGGTTGGAAGTATCTCCACGCTCCGGCTACTTTGTCTGGCTGGCGCTGAAGCTTTCTTTCGGTTCGGTTACATTTGCGAAACATTCGTTCTCTGATTGTTTGCCTGCATCAAGTTTTATGAACGCTGCACGACAGCCCCTCCTTATAGCGTGTACTGAAAATTGGCATCTCACCTGGCTGCTTGCCTGAGTTTTATCTCAATTTGTTTGATGTACACACATAGACAGACTCTTTTATCTCCGCAGGCAGCCGGTGTAGTCAAATAGTTGTAAAACTCGTTTTTATCAGCGTTTTTTCCCTCTCGCAGACCTTATTAGATGATTTATAATTTCGGGCAGCAAGTCATTATTGTTTAACAGGCCTCACAGAAGGAGTATTGTGCTAAATTTGTTCATATCTTTTATGTAAAGATCAATCAAAAGTCTTTATTATGAGCAATGTTTTGAATGGGTTCCAATGACAATTGTCTCTTGTATTTCTCTTAAGAAATTTTAATCTTTTGTTTTGGCAGTCTGTGTTGCGCCTAAATTTAAAATCTTTGGTAACTATATCTATTGACTACCAAACAATAATGATTATTTGCTTTATTATTCAAATGGATAACCTGTAATCGGTTTACTTAATTCCATTTAGGAATTGGATTTTATTTTTTGCCATACTTTAATACTTGTTTTGTCAATTTGTTTTGCAATTGATTATCATAAGATATTAATTTATTATTTTTTAAACAAATGTATAACCTGATATCCTATCGGCCTCTTCTATAAGTTCAATTACATTTTTGGCCAACTCCTCAGTGCATGTGCACACACAATCAGGCTTCATCACATCGAATCTTGATCCGCTGGTGTGGTAAACTTTTCCACCAGCCTCCCTGAGGATTACAGTACCTCCTGCCAGATCCCACGGCTTAAGGTTCTCCACATGATAGGCGTCACATCTTTCGGCGGCAATATAACAAAGCGTGAGAGCTGCACAACCAAAACTGCGAGTGCTGATAGGGAAAACGAGGTTAAAATTATTAGGACGAGATCAGAGTTTTTTGGGTCACTAACCCAGTGGCATTCGACGCCAACTTGTAGAGACGCTTCACATTTTTGTCCCGCCCCTTGGACACCACAATTAGGGAGATCTCATAGCCAACCACCGCTTGATTTATCTGCAATTGAAACTCATACAGTGTGTTAAAAAATACGTTTGTTTTATTAATGTATTTCCCTAGTTATGTTGTTATCAGTAAAATAATTGTTTTTTATTACTTATACTTATTATATATTTCCAAAGAAACATTATGACTAAGATCGTTTTATTTTTTAATTCACAATTATCTACAACATCACAATACTAATAAACTAACTCAAATGTTGATTTGAATGCGTGGCTTTGAAGGATTTTTAATTTGTGTAAAAGTCTCAGGGAATTGCCTATTTTATTTTGAATTATTCCCACATTTATATGTACTCTGACCAAATCTTATCTGTTCCCAGAGATTGTGATTATTTCACAACTTTTACCGCACTTACCACTTTAATATTAGAAGTTTGAATAAGTTGGCCATTTAGGAAAGCTCCGTGACCTTGCCAAGCGGAATACAATTCATTTGCCGGCGGATTGTAAACAATGCCGACCACAAGTTCTTTGTTGATGGACAAACCCACAGAAATACAGCAGTGGGGAATCTTTCGCACATAGTTATTAGTTCCATCGATGGGATCGATAATCCAGGTGGGATCGTCCGTCAATTCCGGCTGTGTTTTGGCGTCGGCCAAAGCCTCTTCCCCTATAATTTTCGATTCCGGAAAGGCCTTGAGCAAACCTTCCGCTAGTGTGGCCTCTATTTGTCTATCGTACACCGTGACCAAGTCGTAAAAAGCCGACTTGACTTCATAATCAGTTTTTGGTTTCTGGAAACCCTCCAGGAAAAGGGGACCGCACTTTTTTACCAGATCCAAGGAGACCTGGTAGTATTCCCGGAGTTTTTCTTCGCTAATTTCGTAGCTCATGGCTTGCAAACTATTTAATTTTTCCAGGCGAACAGCTGTTGAGCTCCATATCAATTTGAAAAAGCTTTTAAGTAAGCTTTGTCCAGATAAACATGCTTTCAGAGATCTGGATTGTTTTATTTTATTTATTTTATATACTGGAATATTTTACTTCAATCTCCTGCGATTACAATTGTTTATAGCTGACTGACAAATGATAAATGTGTGGATACTGACTTTGCATACTGAATTAGGTCTTATCTTTACTTGAATGTGTACTCTGTGATCTGATTGGCCTCCTCGATAAGGCTAATCACATTCTTGGCCAACTCCGGCGTGGAGGCGCACACGCAGTCCGGTTTCATCACATCAAACTTGGATCCGCTGGTGTGAACAATTGTGCCACCGGCTTCGGTCAGGATGATGGCTCCGGCAGCCAAGTCCCAGGGCTTCAGATCCTCCACATGATAGGCATCGCACTGACCGGTGGCCACATAGCAAAGGGTTAGAGCGGCACTTCCAAAGCACCGGGTTCCCGTGGCATTCGAGGCCATCTTGTACATGCGCTTCACGTTCTTGTCCCTCACCCTAGCGGCGTGGATCAGGGAGATTTCGTATGCAATCACCGCTTGGTTGATCTGGGAAGGGGGAGAATATAATTGGAATATAATTTAGTCTAATAAATGCCAATTGCAGAAATTTAATGAGTTTCTGCTAACATTTTTTAAAAGTTGATTTGTTATTTCTGTTCTTTATAAAATGATAAAGAATATTTGCTTTTTTTTTTTGCGATCAGTCAAATGGATAACATGGATAAGGCTCTCCTAACAAAATATTTTTAACCCATCCAAGTTAAACCAATATTTTTTCGTGCACCGATAAACCTGATTGCAGTCAGAATGACATGCATGGTTATATTTCGTTTATCTTGCTTGTCACAGTATACTTTCTGAATTCTTTTGTTTTTGTTGCTCCCGAATTATATAAGCTCTCTCTTACCGTCGTCACTTTAGAGGTGTGGATGGGCTGGCCATTTAGGTAGGCTCCATGTCCCTTGTAGGCGGAGAACAGTTCGTTCGCCGGCGGATTGTAGATGATGCCCACCACCAGTTCCTTGTTGATGGCCAGGCCCACGGAAATGCAGCAATGCGGGATGCGGTGGATGAAGTTGGTGGTTCCATCGATGGGATCTATGATCCAGGTGGGCGCATCCGTTAGTTCCGCCTCGCGATGCGTGGCCGCGGACTCCTCCTCCCCGATAATCAGGGATTCGGGAAAGGCGGCCAGCAGTCCTTCGGTGAGAGTGTCCTCGATCTGCTTGTCGTACACGGTGACCAAGTCGTAAAAGTCCGCCTTGACCTTGTAGTCCGTCTTGGCCTTCTGGTAGCCCTCCTGCATCAGAGGTCCGCACTTGAGGACCAGTTTCAGGGCCACATCGTAGTATTCCTTGAGCTTGGACTCGCTGACCGGGGAACTCATCGCTCTTTCTGTTGATTTCCGACTGAGCAACTCGACTATATGAATGGAAATCAGCTGGGCAACCAAGTGCGACGCGAGAGAAGAGCTTTTCGGGGAAGCTTTTTCTATCCAATAGAACTTTGGACATATCGAAGAGCGGCGATAGAGTTGCTTACAAACTGCCGTTGTTTCGGTTTCGTGGGTGTGTTGATACAGTGCAAGACAAGAAAATAGAAGCTAAAAATATGATTTAATAAAAAAAAAATTTAATTGAAAATATTGTTTTGTGCATTTAAAGTAGTTCCAGAATTTTGTAGTCAATATTGTAATGTCGGGGTTTGTAAGCGTACAAACAATCTGATATTATTCCATTTATATTATAGAACCAACATAATAAACCTAGTTTCTAAAACTGTGTTTGCATGATGATTTGCAGTTTCCCTCATTATCTTAACCCCCCATTTAAATGATGCGCTCTTCAATGTTTGACGACAAGATTATATTCTTGTTGACAAAAGCTCTCAGGGTTTTAAAACTCATTCCCCGCCAACATGCTCCTCCTGATCGGCCTTCCGAATGAGTTTCTCTATCTCCGCTCTCAGTTTCTCCGTTCCGGCGCAGATTAAATCGGGTTTCATGATATCAAAAGGTCCACCATACGGATGGGTGACCACTCCGCCAGCCTCACGGATGAGCAAGTAGCCAGCGGCACAATCCCAGGGATACATGTCCTCGATGTGAAAGGCATCCAGATTACCGGCAGCCACCATGCAAAGTGAATCCACCACAGCTGAATAGGCAAGGAGTCTGAAAAAGGATTAAAAAGTATAGAAAACATGGGATACTTTTTATATGGTTAATCCAACCTCCTGGCATTGGATCCCACATGGTAAATCCTCTTGATATGTTTATTCCGAATCTTTGGAGCGTGCAGCAAACAAACCTCATAAGCCACATTGGCATCGTTAAGTTGCTCACAGCTGCTCACATGGATGGGTTTCCCATTGCAAAAGGCACCCTGTCCCAATTTAGCTGTATATAGCTTTCTCTGGGCAGGATTATTGACCACCCCCAGTACAATCTGCTTGTTAATGGACAAACCAATCGAAACGGAGACATGTGGGATCTGCTTAATGAAATTGGAAGTGCCATCGATGGGATCTATGATCCAAGTGGGCGCATCCGTGAGCTCTTTAGTCACGTTGTTGTTCTTGTGGGTATCCTCCTCGCCAATGAACTTGTGATCCGGATAGCTAGCCAGTATCGTCTCCATGAGAAACTCTTCGATCTGGTTGTTATAGGCAGTGACTACATTGTAGAATTCTCCATCCTTGAGGGAGACAGCTTTCCCGGCATTTTCATAACCCTCCAGTAGGATTTCCCCAGCTTTCACTGCCAGCGGATGGATGAAATCGTATAGCTCCTCTATTTGTGACTTGCTGGCTGCCATCTCACTTATCTGTGATATCTTTCTATATCTAATTGCCGTATCTTGCGACTCTTGTGACTTCGCTTCGAGCAAATTAAACACTGAGAGCAGTCAGTAGAACGAGTTTTTTCAACTCAGTAACTTGGTTCACTGACTGAATTTCGCTAACTGAGATTCTGGAAGGGAGCTTTTAATTTATTTGCACTTGAAGTCAGCTTTTCGACAGAATGGAAATTGCAGTACGTTTTTTTTTTGAGTCTTATTTGCATAATTTAAATAAGACAAAGAATTAACATAAAAAGAAAGAATTATCTGGTTAAACTGTTTTCGCAATCCTATAATAATTTTTGAGAATTAAAATGTTATAACTTATAATTAATAAAAAAAAAAATAATATTATAATCAAAGTTAATGGTTTAAATAAGAAAAAAAATATAACTATTGACAAAAACTTATGTTTTAGGCCCCAACACAACCCTGCATAGTGTCACCTGGAGGACCGCCTGGCGGCCCGCCTCCGCCGGAGCGCTCCAGCCAGGAGAACCTGCACGCCCTGCAGCGCGCTATTGACTCGATGGAGGAGAAGGGTCTGCAGGAGGATCCGCGCTACTCCCAACTGCTGGCCATGCGGGCCACCTCCAAGCACCAGCACCTCAATGGCAATCAGGTTAACCTGCTGCGCACACAGATCACTGCCTACCGATTGCTGGCGCGGAACAAGCCCATATCCATGCAGATGCAGCAGGCGTTGCAGGCGGCCCAGCAACAGCCACCGCCGGGACCTCCGATTGGGCCACCCGGAGCACCAGGTGGACCGCCACCGGGCAGCCAACATGCCGGTCAGCCGCCAGTGCAGCCACAACAGCCGCAACAACCACCACCATCGGCGGGAACACCGCCCCAGTGCTCCACGCCACCGGCTAGCAATCCTTATGGACCACCTGTTCCTGGCCAGAAAATGCAGGTGGCTCCACCACCGCCACACTTGCAGCAGGGACAACCGTTGCCGCCCCAACCACCGCAGGTGGGTGGACCCCGCCCATCCAGCAGCAACAGCCGCCGCAGCAGCAGCAACAACAGCCGCAGCCACCGCCGCCGGAGCAACTGCAGCATCAGTTGCCTAATGGAGGCAAACCGCTGAGCATGGGACCCGCCGGAGGACAGCCACTGATCCCTTCGTCGCCGCAGGTGAGGGGAGCTCTGCCGGGAATGCCGCCTGGCAGTCAGGTTCCTCAGCCAGGAGGCGGTCCACCGCGACAGGTGCCACCAGCGGGCATGCCCATGCCGAAACCCAACCGCATCACAACGGTGGCCAAGCCCGTTGGTCTGGATCCCATCACGTTGCTGCAGGAACGGGAGAACCGGATAGCGGCCAGGATATCGCTTCGCATGCAGGAGCTCCAGCGTCTGCCGGCCACCATGTCCGAGGATCTGCGCCTGCAGGCAGCCATTGAGTTGAGGGCCCTGAGGGTCCTAAACTTCCAGCGGCAGCTGCGCATGGAGTTTGTCCAGTGCACGAGAAGGGACACCACGTTGGAGACCGCGCTGAACATCAAGTTCTACAAGAGGACCAAGCGACAGGGCTTGCGGGAGGCACGCGCCACCGAAAAGCTGGAGAAGCAGCAGAAGCAAGAGGCTGAACGCAAGCGTCGGCAGAAGCATCTCGAGTTCCTGGCGGCGGTGCTGCAGCACGGCAAGGATTTGAGGGAGTTCCACAGGAATAATAAGGTACGTTGATGGAAATATGGAATAGGGAATTTAGAATATGAGTGATTAATAATTCATTTCCTCCCTTTAGGCTCAGCTTGCCAGGATGAACAAGGCCGTGATGAACCATCACGCGAATGCAGAGCGCGAACAGAAGAAGGAGCAGGAGCGCATCGAGAAGGAACGTATGCGCCGTCTGATGGCCGAGGACGAGGAGGGCTACCGCAAGCTCATCGATCAGAAGAAGGACAAGCGGTTGGCGTTCCTGCTGTCGCAGACGGACGAGTACATCAGCAACCTCACGCAGATGGTGAAGCAGCACAAGGACGACCAGATGAAGAAGAAGGAGGAGGAGGGCAAGCGGCTGCTGCAGTTCAAGAAGGAGCTCCTGATGAGCGGCGAGTACATTGGCATCGACGAGGGCAGCATCGTTGCCGATATGCGTGTCCATGTGGTGGAGCAGTGCACGGGCAAGAAGCTAACCGGCGACGATGCTCCCATGCTGAAGCACCTGCACCGCTGGCTGAACATGCATCCCGGCTGGGATTGGATCGACGACGAGGAGGACAGCTGCGGCAGCAACGAGGACCACAAGCACAAGGTGGAGGAGCAGCCAACGGCCACGGAGGATGTGACCGATAAGGCGGCGACGGCGGGCGGCGATGTCGATCCCAAGGATCTGATCACCAAGGCCAAGGTGGAGGACGATGAGTACAGGACAGAGGAGCAGACCTACTACAGCATCGCCCACACCATTCACGAAAAGGTGGTGGAGCAGGCCAGCATTATGGTCAATGGCACGCTCAAGGAGTACCAGATCAAGGGCTTGGAGTGGTTGGTGTCGCTGTACAACAACAATCTGAACGGCATCCTGGCCGATGAAATGGGTTTGGGTAAAACCATTCAGACCATTTCGCTGGTTACCTACCTGATGGACCGCAAAAAGGTGATGGGGCCCTACTTGATCATCGTCCCACTCTCGACCCTGCCCAATTGGGTGCTGGAGTTCGAGAAGTGGGCGCCGGCAGTGGGCGTGGTCAGCTACAAGGGAAGTCCGCAGGGAAGGCGACTGCTGCAGAATCAGATGCGGGCAACCAAGTTTAATGTGCTGCTCACCACCTATGAGTACGTCATTAAGGACAAGGCGGTGCTGGCCAAGATCCAGTGGAAGTACATGATCATCGACGAGGGTCACCGCATGAAGAACCACCACTGTAAGCTCACCCAGGTGCTGAACACCCACTACATTGCTCCCTATCGATTGCTGCTCACGGGCACTCCACTACAAAACAAACTTCCCGAGCTGTGGGCCCTTCTCAACTTCCTGCTGCCCTCGATCTTCAAGTCCTGCTCCACGTTCGAGCAGTGGTTCAATGCACCATTCGCTACGACCGGCGAGAAGGTCGAGCTGAACGAGGAGGAGACCATCCTCATCATTCGCCGCCTGCACAAGGTGCTGCGTCCCTTCCTGCTGCGCCGTCTCAAAAAGGAGGTGGAGCACCAGCTGCCCGACAAGGTCGAGTACATCATCAAGTGCGACATGTCCGCCCTGCAGCGGGTTCTCTACAAGCACATGCAGAGCAAGGGCGTCCTGCTCACCGACGGCTCCGAGAAGGGCAAGCACGGCAAGGGTGGCGCCAAGGCGCTGATGAACACGATCGTCCAGCTGCGCAAGCTCTGCAACCATCCTTTCATGTTCCAGCACATCGAGGAGAAGTACTGCGACCACACCGGAGGACATGGCGTGGTGTCCGGTAAGTTTTCCTTACTCTTATTTTAGTGCAATCTTTATGATCTTAATTCTTTTGCTTTTTAGGTCCGGATTTGTATCGCGTATCCGGCAAATTCGAGCTGCTCGACCGCATTCTGCCCAAGCTGAAGGCCACAGACCATCGCGTGCTGCTCTTCTGTCAGATGACCCAGTGCATGACCATTATCGAAGACTACTTGGGATGGCGCCAGTTTGGATACCTTCGACTGGACGGCACCACCAAAGCCGAGGATCGTGGCGAACTGCTGCGCAAATTCAACGCCAAGGGTTCGGATGTGTTTGTCTTTCTGCTATCCACTCGAGCCGGTGGCTTGGGTCTCAATCTGCAGACCGCCGACACTGTGGTGATCTTCGACTCCGATTGGAATCCTCACCAGGATCTGCAGGCCCAGGATCGTGCTCATCGTATTGGCCAGCGTAACGAGGTGCGCGTGCTCCGTCTGATGACAGTTAACTCCGTGGAGGAGCGAATTCTGGCTGCCGCTAGATACAAGTTGAACATGGACGAGAAGGTCATCCAGGCCGGTATGTTCGATCAAAAATCAACGGGCAGCGAACGCCAGCAGTTCCTCCAAACGATCCTGCATCAGGATGACAACGAGGAGGAGGAGGAAAATGAGGTGCCCGATGACGAGATGATCAACATGATGATTGCTCGCAGCGAAGAGGAGATAGAGATCTTTAAGCGCATGGATGCAGAACGCAAGAAGGAGGACGAGGAGATCCATCCGGGCAGGGAGCGCCTGATCGATGAGTCCGAATTGCCCGACTGGTTGACGAAGGACGACGACGAGGTTGAGCGTTTCCACTATCAGTACGATGAGGATACCATTCTCGGTGAGTCCTAGTCATATGATTTATTTAACTAATTTACTAATTGTCTTACTATTTGGTTGTAGGTCGAGGTTCCCGTCAGCGCAAGGAGGTCGACTACACGGACAGTTTGACTGAGAAGGAGTGGCTGAAAGCCATTGACGATGGCGCTGAGTTTGACGAGGAAGAGGAGGAGGACGACTCCAAGCGCAAACGACGCAAGCGTAAGAACCGAAAAGAAGAGTCCGACGACGATTCGTTGATATTGAAGCGGCGACGACGCCAGAACATAGACAAGCGTTCCAAGAAGCAGATGAATAAGATAATGAGTGCGGTGATCAAGCATAACCAGGATGGTCGCACCCTGTCCGAGCCATTCATGAAGTTGCCGTCTCGCCAGCGGTTGCCCGACTACTATGAGATCATCAAACGGCCGGTGGACATTAAGAAAATTCTGCAGCGCATCGAGGACTGCAAGTACGCCGATCTCAACGAGCTGGAGAAGGATTTCATGCAGCTGTGCCAAAATGCGCAGATCTATAACGAAGAGGCCTCGCTGATTTACCTGGATTCGATGGCCTTGCAAAAGGTGTTTGTTGCCGCCAGGCAGAGAATAACAGCTGCAGCGGACGCAGTTGCAGTGGCAGCCGGAGAAAATACGGGTGAAGGGCACGGAAACGGCGGTGGTTCGGATAACTCGGAAAACGAGGACGAAGATGGAGGCGATGATGGTTCCGATGACGAGGAGATTGCCACAACATCCGCGGCTGCTGTCAAAATGAAGCTCAAACTGAACAAATCTTTGGCCAGTGCTCCGGCGACGCCCACGCAATCATCGAATGTGGGCAGTGGTGCAGCCACCACGTCCAAAAAGCAAACGCGACGCAAGCGGTCACAGAAGAAATACACCATTTCCGATGACGACGACGATGATATGGACTAGCTACCGCTGGGCGTGATCTTCAAGCGCCGATCATCGGATGTCGAAGGCATGGGCAATTGATCATTAGTTAGACTAAGCTTAACCCCTTTCGAGAGAGATGCTTACCGAAACCCTGACTCAAGGGTTCCCTTAACCATCTGGCCTCCCTGTCCAGGCTATCACTTCTATCCTCTACCCATCGGTTTTAATTTTAGGTTTCTTTTAAGCTTCCTTTCCTAATTATTATGCTCACAAAATTTATTTCTCCCATCTTTATTGATTGTATAATTATGTGCTTTAAAATAAATGCATACCTAACATAAGTTTTATCGGATACTATTTTGTTCTTGGATGGACGTTCTTGGATGGATATGATTTAATACAAGTTTATCGCTTGGTGTGGAGAAATGGCATGTCCAAAAACCAATAGAACTTTAAAATCTTCTCGAGTCCCGGAATTTTACGAAGTTCGGAGCGTTGATCGGTTGACAAGGCTTGAAATGATCGGAGCAAAAGTGTGTCCGGCATTGAGGTGCTATTAACAAGTCTTATAACACTTTGTAAGGCTGTTGAGCAGACCATGGGATATATATCCACGTTTGGATTCACAGGCACGTTAGTATAAGCTAAGCCTAATCGTTTTCGGTTTAGAAAAAACTCCAAATGACCTCGCGAACGATCCAAATAGACGCCAATAAGCGAGCCTTTGGAAAACTCTTGGCAATATGATGTTTTAATTCCGCAATGCTGAACGTTTCCAGAGTACGAGAAACCCCAGGAATGTTCACTCCTTCCCAATGCAGATCTATATCGAGATTTATATTCCGCTAGATCTACGCTCTGCGTGCCGATGCCAAACATCTAGGAAGAAAATGAAAGGCAGGTTGTTAATCAAATGTAGGATTGAATCTTCTCTTATCAATTGAATGATAACCCGACTCACCACGTCAGTTCCGAATAGGGGAGAGATAGCGAGCATCTCCCAAAAGTGAACCATACCAGGTTTTAGAGATCGACTTCCCCTCACTATGGAAGTGCCTCGACTCTTGATTGGATTGAATATGATGTCTCTCCCACTGACCAAAGCATTTGTCTTTTCGTCGGCGTTCCATGCCCAAGGATTGACATTACTGACCCCAATTTCGCCGCATCGGCACTGCAGCAAGTCGGAAATGCTCCCCAAGTTATTTCTTATTTGGAATGTGTTGGGAAGCCTGCAGTCACAAAAGCTAGAAGACATTTGAAGTCGACAAATGTGTAACGAGTTTGAATAAGATAGGTTTGTGAACACTTCCGCCCACGACTGAATTCAATTTGCAACTGAAGTTCCGTCGATTTTGTTATAACGAGTAAATGATAATCGGTTCTCGGTTCTTAATTCATAAGCCAATTCATTTCCCAATCCATGAATCATGTCAATCTACATTTATTTCTTTATTAACTTAAATTTAAAAGCGTGTCCATTTCTTACGATAAGAATGTTTAACAAAGCTTATCAAGTAACTAAGGCAAGGAAAATGTAGACACCTATAGACATTGGTTGGATAATATCCACACTTGATCAGATTATAATTCAATTTATTTAAGTTTACTAATTGCTAATTGAATTTGTTTGTTCTATTTCTGTTTATGATTTCAATTTTACTTATTATGTTAATAATTACACTTCTTTAAATAAATGCATAATTTATTATTTTGATATGTTTTCTAGGCTCTACAGTAGGTAGTGGAAGTACTCGTCGCACATCTCGTGGACGGAAGCAGTTTGCTCCTCGTCGCCGCTATCGTTGCGTCTCAACGCGATCTTGTGTGCATTGGCGTATAGGTCGTCCTCGTCTACAACCGCATCGTCAGTTTCTATTAAGGGCAATTGATAATTATTTAAGTAATAGTGGAAAGCGACTTGACGCTCTCACCTCGGTACTTTTGCTTGCGCCCCAACCTCAGCTTGGAGCTGGAGAGCACCGCCTCGTCGCCCAGATCCAGTTCATGCTCGCGAGAGTTTCGCGAATAGCGAACTGGCGGCGCTAGGAACCAGTAGGATTGCAGAATGCCCTTAAGACCCGGCATCCGGCGCAGTTCGGCGAGTTTGAGCGGCTGCCGGGACAAAGCTTGAAAGGATCGCAGCTGCAGCGTCACCGGCTGTGATGTGCAATTGATCAGCCTTACTACAGACTTGGCTGCCGTTGAACAAACCATGGGATATATGTTTATATCCGGATCCGTGGGCACATTCGTATAGGCCACTCCCAGTGACCGGCGGTTCAGGTAGAACTCCAGCTGGCCGCGCGTCCGATCCAAACAGACTCCTATCAGACAGCCCTGCGAGAACTTCTGGCCGTAGGGTAGCTGCTCGCCGCAGTGCTGAATTCGGCCGGAATACGAAAATCCCCATGACTGGGCATTGGTGCCCAAAGCCGACACAAAGTGGAACTTGAACTGCCCTAGATTTACGCTTTCCGTGCCGATGCCAAACATCTAGGAGAAGAGAAAAGGGAAGCCGATTAAAAAGAAAACATTGTTTACATTGAACTTTTTCTGGCTTATCATCTAGTTGGGCTGTCTGCCGAGATTTCCTCGTCCCGCCGCGTCTGTTATCTTATCGCTTCGTTGTAATCTGTAATCTAGCGTACAATGGTGCGAACAATTAAGTTGTTGCCAATGGAATCGAGCACACCAGATGCCTCCGCAGGCAGCGTTCTATTTTCAGACGGCGACTTTGACTGACATTCATCTCGCCGTGCATCCCACATAGTTGCCAAGCCGGGTTGATAGCTCACCACATCTGTGCCGGCCAGCGTCGTAATGACGCGCATCTCCCAGAAGTGAACCATGCCAGGCTTCAGGGGCCTTTCTCCTCGCACAATAGCCGTGCCCTGGCTGTAGGTGGGATGGAAGATGATGTCCCGCTCGGTCACTATGGCATCCGATTCATCCGAGACGTGCCACTTCCAGGGATTTACGTTGCCAAGTTCATCCTCACCGCACCGACACTTGACCAGGTCGGGAATGTGACCCTTGTGGGTGGTTACCTCAACGGAGTTGGGAAAGGGGCAATCACAAAAGCCGGGATTGCAGGCTTCCTGGGGCAACAACATGTTGGCACTCGGATTCCTCAGTTACTCCGGATTCCCCGATGCTTATGAGTTTTGACAGTCGTGTGCAATGATCTCGAACAGTCGACGGACCACAAATGTTTCCAGTTAAACCAGCTGCAGCCTCATATATAAGCTCTTGATCCAATCTGACTGAACAATAAACAAAAACGATGCGTTGTAAATAGACGCCAGCGTCGCTGCCGGCGTCGCTTTTAGTGTGGCCAAAGTGAATACATTCGAGAGATTAAACATACTAAAAATAAATTTTACGAAATCAAAGGAATATCTGTAAATTTAAATTTTAGATATTGTAAATTAATTTACCACCTATTGAATGGGTTGTCCCTTAAAGACAATATACTAAATTTATTTTATTTAAAAATAAAAAAAATAACAAAACAATAATAAAATGTAATGAAAATAGTGAATGAAAAATTTTAATTTTTATGTGCCATTATTAATAATTAATTTATTTATTGTTAATTTATTATTTAAAAATAAATTTATTAAAAGTTCCAAAGAATTAAAACACGCGTTTGTGTTTGAATGCCACTTTTGTGTGAACGACTCGATTGCAACTCTGTGTGGTGGCCGAACCACAAACAGCGGCTTTTCACTACGATTTTACTGAAAAATCTATAAAAATAAGTTAATTTAGGTATTAAAATCCCGTGAAAAACATTCAACAGTCATGGCTGATGCCGCAGCACGTCAGCTGCAGTACGAGTACAAGGCGGTAAGTGCGAAATTCCAGACCGAAAAAACTTTCCCCTTCCCATGCGGCGTCTCCGAAGAATTTCACAGAAATGTTAAATGTGTTTATTTCATTTTTCAGAACTCCAATCTTGTGCTGCAAGCCGATGTCCGACTTATCGAACGGCCGCGACGAGATGAAGCGACCGGTGAGGTGTGCTCCCTGGTGGGAAAGCTGGATGGAACCCGGATGGGCGATCGATACCAGCGAACCAAGCCAGAGAAAACGGAAGAGCGCAAGGTAAAGCGCCAGAAGCGAGATGAGGCCCAGTACGATTTCGAGCGGATGAAGGGCGCAACTTTGCTTTCCGAGGGCATCGACGAAATGGTGGGCATTGTCTACCGGCCCAAAACTCAAGAAACCCGTCAGACCTACGAAGTTCTGCTCAGTTTCATCCAGGAAGCTTTGGGGGATCAGCCCAGGGACATCCTATGCGGTGCCGCCGACGAGATTCTGGCTGTGCTCAAAAATGATCGGCTGAAGGATCGAGAGCGGAAAAGGGATGTGGACAGCCTGCTGGGTGCTGTCACAGATGAGCGATTCGCTCTGTTGGTGAATCTGGGTAAGAAGATCACAGACTTTGGCAGCGATGCAGTAAATGCATTGACTGCTGCTCCAAATAACGAGGAGCAAATTGACGAGACCTACGGCATCAATGTTCAGTTCGAGGAATCTGAGGAGGAAAGCGATAACGACATGTATGGTGAGATTCGTGATGATGATGCGCAGGATGAAGGCGAAGAAGCGCGCATTGATCACACCCTGCATGCCGAAAATGTAAGTAATAATATTAATCTTAAGATGAACCTTTGTCATTTAAATTTCTGTTCTCAGTTGGCCAACGAGGAAGCCGCCAACAATGTTAAGAAGGAGCGCTCCTTACATCCATTGGACATAGATGCATATTGGTTGCAGCGCTGCTTGAGCAAGTTCTATAAGGATGCCATGGTGTCGCAGAGCAAGGCAGCCGATGTGCTTAAGATCCTCAAGGATGCCGCCGATGATCGTGATTGTGAAAACCAATTGGTGCTCCTGCTTGGCTACGATTGCTTTGATTTCATCAAGCAATTGAAACTGAACCGCCAAATGGTTCTTTACTGCACCATGTTGGCCTCAGCTCAAACAGACAGCGAGCGACAGAGAATCCGCGAGAAAATGCGCGGGAATTCCACACTGGCAAAAATCCTGCGGCAATTGGATACAGGAAAATCGGAGGAACAAGACGAAGGAGAAGCGCGGGGCAGCAAACGTGGCAAAGGCGATGCTGAGGATGGAGGAGCAGCTACCGCTGGTCAGGTGGCTGGAGTGCGGCAGCTCCTGGAGTTGGAGGAAATGGCCTTTACCCAGGGATCCCACTTCATGGCCAACAAGCGCTGTCAGCTGCCTGATGGCTCCTATAGGAAGCAGCGCAAGGGCTACGAAGAAGTGCATGTGCCTGCCCTGAAACCAGTTCCCTTCGATGCCAACGAGGAGTTGCAACCGGTTGACAAGCTGCCGAAATACGTTCAGCCTGTCTTTGAGGGTTTCAAGACCCTTAATCGCATCCAAAGTCGGTTGTACAAAGCCGCCCTGGACAGTGACGAAAATATGCTGCTGTGTGCTCCCACGGGTGCTGGCAAAACCAATGTAGCCCTGCTCACTATGATGCGGGAGATTGGTAAGCACATCAACGAGGATGGGACCATCAATGCGCAGGATTTCAAGATCATCTATGTGGCTCCTATGAAATCGCTGGTACAGGAAATGGTGGGTAACTTTGGACGACGCCTTGCTTGCTATAATCTGACGGTATCCGAGTTGACTGGAGATCATCAGCTGACCAGGGAACAGATTGCCGCCACGCAAGTAATTGTTTGCACACCGGAAAAGTGGGATATCATTACCCGAAAGGGAGGAGAGCGTACGTTTGTGAGCCTCGTTAGATTGGTAATCATCGATGAGATTCATTTGCTTCACGACGAGCGTGGTCCGGTTCTGGAGGCCCTGGTGGCGCGTACCATTAGAAATATAGAGACCACGCAGGAGGAGGTTCGTCTGGTGGGCTTATCTGCCACCCTGCCGAACTACCAGGATGTGGCCACTTTCTTGCGCGTGAAACCAGATAAAGGCCTTTTCTACTTTGACAACAGCTATCGACCAGTCTCTCTGGAGCAGCAGTATATCGGTGTAACGGAGAAGAAAGCCCTGAAGCGTTTCCAGGTGATGAACGAAATTGTATACGAAAAGACCATGGAGCACGCTGGACGGAATCAGGTGCTTGTGTTCGTTCACTCGCGCAAGGAGACTGGAAAAACGGCGAGGGCCGTAAGGGACATGTGCCTGGAGCAGGATACTCTTGGAAGCTTCCTCAGGGAAGGATCAGCCAGCATGGAGGTGCTGCGCACTGAAGCCGAGCAAGTGAAGAACACAGAGCTGAAGGAGCTGCTGCCCTACGGATTCGCCATCCATCATGCTGGAATGACTCGGGTCGATCGTACCCTCGTCGAGGATCTTTTTGCTGATCGGCACATCCAGGTGCTGGTCTCCACTGCCACGCTGGCATGGGGTGTGAATCTGCCGGCTCACACGGTAATCATCAAGGGAACGCAGGTCTACAATCCGGAGAAGGGTCGCTGGGTGGAGCTGAGTGCTTTGGATGTCCTGCAGATGTTGGGTCGTGCTGGGCGACCGCAGTACGATACCAAGGGTGAGGGTATTCTCATTACCAATCACAGCGAGCTGCAGTTCTATCTCTCCCTGCTCAATCAGCAGTTGCCCATCGAGTCGCAGTTCATATCCAAGCTTCCTGACATGTTGAATGCAGAGATTGTGCTGGGAACCGTGCAACATCTTCAGGATGCAGTGAACTGGCTGGGGTACACCTATCTGTACATTCGAATGCTGCGGAATCCCACGTTGTATGGTGTTTCCCACGATGCCATTAAGGCGGATCCCTTGTTGGAGCAGCATCGGGCGGATCTACTGCATACCGCAGCCTGCTGTCTAGAGAGGAGTGGCCTCGTTAAATACGATCGCAAGACGGGACACTTCCAGGTGACGGACCTGGGACGCATTGCTTCCCACTATTACCTGACCCACGAAACCATGCTCACTTACAACCAGCTGCTTAAGCAAACTCTCAGCGAGATCGAACTATTCCGTGTGTTCTCATTATCCTCGGAATTCCGACACATTTCTGTCAGGGAAGAGGAAAAGCTGGAGCTACAGAAACTGATGGAACGTGTGCCCATTCCCATTAAGGAGTCCATTGAAGAGCACAGCGCCAAGGTGAATGTTCTGCTGCAGGCTTATATCTCCCAATTGAAACTGGAGGGCTTTGCTTTGATGTCAGACATGGTGTTCATCACACAATCCGCAGCCCGTTTGATGAGGGCCATCTTCGAGATCGTCCTGAACCGCGGATGGGCTCAATTGGCAGATAAAACTTTGACGCTCTGCAAGATGATTGACCGAAGGATGTGGCAATCTATGACACCGCTTCGACAGTTCAAGAAGATGCCCGATGAGATTGCCAAGAAGCTGGAGAAGAAGCACTTCCCTTGGGGAAGGCTCTATGATTTGGAGCCCCATGAACTTGGAGAGCTGATCAGAGTGCCCAAGCTAGGAAAAACCATCCATAAGTTTGTGCACCAGTTCCCGAAGTTGGAGCTATCCACGCACATTCAACCTATAACAAGGGGAACACTAAGAGTGGAACTCACTATCACCCCGGATTTCCAATGGGATGAGAAGGTGCATGGTCAGTCGGAAGGATTCTGGGTGTTGATCGAAGATGTGGACTCGGAACTCATACTCCACCATGAGTTCTTCCTGCTGAAGCAGAAGTATTCCCAGGATGAGCACCAGCTGAAGTTCTTTGTGCCCGTTTTCGAGCCTCTGCCGCCGCAATATTTCCTCCGGATCGTCTCGGATCGCTGGATTGGAGCCGAGACCCAATTACCAGTCTCGTTCCGCCACTTGATTTTGCCCGAGAAGAATATGCCACCTACAGAGCTGCTGGATCTGCAACCACTTCCCATTAGTGCTCTTCGACAGCCCAAGTTTGAAGCGTTTTATTCGCAACGTTTCCCGCAGTTCAATCCCATCCAGACGCAGGTCTTCAACGCCGTTTACAACAGTGATGAAAATGTCTTTGTTGGAGCTCCAACGGGATCCGGAAAGATGACCATTGCGGAGTTCGCCATTATGCGTTTGTTCACCACTCAATCGGATGCTCGCTGTGTCTATTTGGTTTCACAGGAGGCTCTGGCGGATCTGGTCTTTGCCGATTGGCACAGCAAGTTTGGTTCACTGGACATCAAAGTGGTTAAGTTGACTGGCGAAACTGGCACCGATCTGAAGCTAATAGCCAAGGGACAGCTGGTGATCACCACTGCGGATAAGTGGGATGTGTTGTCGCGCCGTTGGAAGCAAAGGAAGAACGTGCAACTGGTTAATCTGTTCATTGTGGACGAACTGCAGCTGGTTGGCGGCGAGGATGGTCCTGTGCTGGAGATTGTGTGCTCCAGGATGCGGTACATTAGCTCGCAGATCGAGAAGCAGATTAGGATTGTGGCCTTGTCCGCCTCGCTGACCGATGCCAGGGATGTGGCCCAGTGGTTGGGCTGCAATCCCAATGCCACTTTCAACTTCCACCCAAGTGTGCGTCCCATACCGCTGGAGCTGCACATTCAGGGATTTAATGTCACCCACAATGCTACCAGGATTGCCACTATGTCCAAGCCGGTTTACAATGCCATTCTCAAGTACAGCGCCCACAAGCCGGTGATTGTTTTCGTTTCGTCGAGGAAGCAGGCCAGGCTCACTGCTATTGATGTCTTGACTTATGCTGCATCGGACTTGCAACCGAATCGATTCTTCCATGCCGAGGAGGAGGACATCAAGCCGTTCTTGGAGCGAATGACGGATAAAACTTTGAAGGAGACTCTGGCCCAAGGAGTGGCCTATCTGCATGAGGGATTATCCTCCTCCGATCACCGCCTGGTGGAGCAGCTCTTTGACTCGGGAGCTGTACAGGTGGCTGTGGTTTCTAGGGATCTCTGCTGGGGCATGAGCATCTCCGCGCACTTGGTGATCATCATGGACACGCAGTTCTACAACGGCAAGAATCACTCGTATGAGGATTATCCCATCACCGATGTCTTGCAGATGATTGGTCGCGCCAATCGCCCCAACGAGGATGCGGATGCCAAGTGTGTGCTGATGTGCCAGAGCAGCAAGAAGGACTTCTTCAAGAAGTTCATCAACGAGCCGCTGCCCATCGAGAGTCACTTGGATCATCGAATGCACGATCACTTTAATGCGGAGGTGGTGACCAAGACCATTGAGAACAAACAGGATGCCGTGGATTATCTCACTTGGACATTCCTCTATAGGAGATTGACACAGAATCCCAATTACTACAATCTGCAGGGCGTCACGCATCGCCATCTATCCGATCATCTTTCGGAGTTGGTGGAGAATACCTTGAGCGATCTGGAGCAGTCGAAGTGCATCAGCGTGGAGGACGATATGGATACATTGCCACTCAATCTGGGAATGATTGCCGCTTACTATTACATCAACTACACTACTATTGGTAAAGAAAATACTATTCAAATTTAATCATGACATTATTTATAACTAAAAAAACAAAAACCTATTCCAGAACTCTTCAGTTTGTCGCTGAACAGCAAAACGAAAGTACGTGGCCTGCTGGAGATCATTTCCTCGGCAGCTGAGTACGAGGATGTGGTGGTCAGACACCACGAAGAGCAGGTTCTACGCACGCTTTCACAGCGATTGCCCAACAAACTAACAGGGCCAAATGAAACGGCTCCAAAGTAAATAACGCATACCCCTTTATACCGAACAATTATAACAACTCCCTATTTTAGGTTCAATGATCCCCACATCAAGACGAATTTGCTGCTTCAGGCGCATCTTTCGCGATTGCAGTTGGGTCCAGAACTGCAGGGCGATACGGAACAGATACTTAGCAAGGCCATTCGACTTATTCAGGCCTGTGTGGATGTGCTGAGTTCGAATGGCTGGCTATCGCCGGCTGTGGCTGCCATGGAGCTGGCCCAGATGGTCACCCAGGCCATGTGGAGCAAGGATTCCTACTTGAAACAATTGCCTCACTTCAGTCCCGAGATTGTCAAGCGCTGCACAGAAAAGGTGAGATTGGAAAATCATCTCATCTGTAAACTATTCTTATTTGATTTTTATATCTTTGCTTTACAGAAAATCGAAACTGTTTTCGATATCATGGAGCTGGAGGATGAGGATCGCACCCGCCTGCTGCAGCTCTCCGATTTACAAATGGCCGATGTGGCTCGTTTCTGCAACAGGTATCCCAACATTGAGCTCAACTACGAAGTGGTGGACAAGGATCGCATCAATTCGGGATCAACCGTCAATGTGGTGGTTCAACTGGAACGCGAGGATGAGGTTACCGGTCCAGTTATAGCTCCCTTCTTCCCGCAGAAGCGTGAAGAGGGCTGGTGGGTCGTTATCGGTGACCCCAAGACCAACTCCCTGCTCTCCATCAAACGACTCACGCTGCAGCAAAAGGCGAAGGTCAAGCTGGACTTTGTGGCCCCCAGTCCGGGCAAACACGACTACACTTTGTACTACATGAGCGATTCCTACTTGGGTTGCGATCAGGAGTACAAGTTTTCCATCGAAGTGGGCGATTTCCAGTCGGAAAGCGAGAGCGAGTCGGATTAGTTATATTAAGGCACATCAGTTGGGCATAGTCGCGCAAATAAAGATCAACCATTTTACAATTTAAACCAATTAAACGTAGTCATAATTTTAAAATGAATCTTATCTTTTCTGTTAGTATCACAAAGTTAAAAATTTTATGAGCTTTTTGGTAAATACTTGCCCAATACTCGTTTTTAATTCGTTTCCTTCTTCTTACCTTTATTGGCCATTAATTAGTCAATTAATTCTTCGATTCAATCATAAATATTTATTAGTATTTTTTCGACTTTTGCACATATAGTAGGATTGCTGACCAATTTACTTGGAGGTAATTACCCTGTAGGATGCAATTTGCATTAACGGCTTACGGACACCGCAGATCCGTGGCTGTTGCCATGGTTGTTTCCTCCGTTGGCGAAGCTGTTGGTGGAACTGAAGTTGATAGTTTGTCCATTGGGGAGATGGTACACCTGACTCAGCGAGGCTCCTGCAGCGTTATTCAATCCGAAGGGACTGGAGTTCTGGGACTGAGTAGCTGTGCTGGCGGAGGAGGCACCGAAGGATCCATTTGCACTCTGCGACTGGAAGCCCTGCGCTTGTCCAATGGCCGCCGAGGAGCCTGAGTTGGGTCCATTGTTGTAGTTACTGTGGGCAGCTCCATTCGAGGCTGCCTGCTCCTGGTTGTAGCCACTTGGTCCCAGAGGTCCCAGCGGATTCAACTGGACATTGGCATTGGCGTTGCCACCATTCGGTCCAGCTCCAACATCCACGCCCGCCTTGGTTCCTCCAGCTCCGGCTTCTGTTTCGGACTGTACACTTCCTCCTTGGTTGCCACCGAATCCTGGATTACCACCAAATCCTTGATTGCCACCGAATCCTGGATTTCCACCGAATCCTTGATTACCACCGAATCCACCTCCAAAGCCGGGACTTCCACCGAATTGGCCTCCGAATCCGGGATTTCCGGCATACTGACCACCGAATTGCCGACCACCAAACTGGCGCTTAACCCGCTTGTGGGTGGTTGCTGATCCTAACGAAACGGACCGTACGCGACGCACTTGCGGATTGGACTTGGGTTTGATGTACAAGGCAGATTCCACAACCACTTCCTCGATTGTGGCGCCCTTGGAAGCTGTGAAACGAAAAAATATTGCCAATTACTAAAAGAAAATTTTTGATATTTCGTTTTTTATGGTTGTCATACAAAATCGGGTCCAGATTCCCGATTCGCATAAACAAGTAATTAATAACACAATGGAGAAGTGTTAAAAATAGATTTGTTCTTTAACTGTTTAGCAATTTGTGCTCACTAATTTAAAACCCTGATTAAGACCCCAACTTACGCAAATCACCCTCGCCGGTCTGGACCTGCTTTTCGTTGCGCTGCCTTAGTTGGGGAAACGCCGAAACGGTCCCCAAACAGATGAGGGCCACAATTAGCACCGGAATAGACAGATTCATTTCGAACTCTTCGATTGGCTTTCGTTTGGGAATCGCAGCTGGACACGTCCGCTAGCTAGGCCGCTTCACGATGAACTGTTGGATGTTGGATGTATCTCAGCATTTCCAATCGGCCGATCAACTCTCACTTTTCAATGGCCACAGGGGGCCTCCCCTTTTGTCCGACGGCGCTAATTGCTTCTATCAATATTCAAAATGTTTCGGCGAAAACAATTCAGAAAAAAATAAGACAAAAACTGGATTGTATAATCAAACGATTTTTGGCACATGTAACAGATGCAAACATTTAATAATTTTGTATTATGTAGGAAAAAAACAAAACGGGTGTACAAAAGCCGAAACCGGTTAGTAACCAAAGCTCGTGGAGGAACTAGTTTGGTTTTCTTTTGTTTATTTTTTTAGCTCGGCGGTGTGCCTGGTTTTTGTTGCTTTTTCGATTTCCTTTTCGGGAAACAGATGTTGCCCAGAACTTTTACGGGTCTTAAGTGCGAAGGCGGAGAGATCTCCTCGATGTGTTTGTGTTTATGAACGCGGCATCCCAGTGAACTTCTGCCTGAGATTTCTAAATGCATTTGATTGTCTGCCCTTTTAGCTGATAAGAGTATAGACCCAATACTTCAATTTGAATAAACATGTTTATTTCTAATCCTATTCTAAAAGTTAAGACAATTTTATGAATTGATTTGTAGTAATCAAACATATTTGTACATCCACAAAAATGTATTGATTCCGCTTAGTTTCAACACAGCATAGTTTAATAACTATAAAATATTCATAAAATTAAAAAAGGAAAACATATAAAATTTATAAAATGTTGCCATCAAATAAGAAATAAAATGTATAACCAAAAAAATTATTTAAATGTTATCTATGAATGTGTTCTTATAAATTTAAAGAGTAGTGTACTAATGTGTAATGTATTACTCATTACACTTATATTTTAAAGACAATAAAAAGTTCCTTCGTTGAATTTCGTAGAATTTTTAGTGTCAAATTTCAGATAAGGCCAGAACTTTTTCATATAATCACGTGAAACATTTCTTTAGTAAGTGAACTCTTTATTACTTGTCCCACAATAAATTTAAAAGTATTGACAATTATTTCAGAACTTTAAGTTGGGTGTGCATAAGTAATTAAAACACGAATTAAGACACTCATAGCTACCTTCTATCAAAACGAGGATGAAGTGAACGATAACAAAGGGATATTGGTAATTGTTGAGATCGCTTAATCAAACATTTAATATTGTGTATGCGATTTTTTTAATGGAATATATGAAATTTGTTATGAACTAAATGGAAAAAAACAATGATCCAAAATAAATGTATAATTTTTTGTACAACTTGAAAGTCGTCATGAGGCGCTTGAATGGTACGTTTTGCGAGCTTTTTCCTTAGACTATTGCTTTTAATGCTTACACTTAAGTTAAGGAATCAACAAAACTGAGCACTGTTCGATATAGTTAGCAGTTAACCTAGGATAAGTGGTTAAGCAGCGGCTGGGCTGTTGGGCCTACTCGATGCCATGGGCGAAGATCATGACCAGGCCGGGATCGATCATGACGTCCTCAGTCATATGGAGGTTGTCGCAACTCAACACGAGCACAGCTTGCTTACCTGGGGACAAAAAAATGGATGAGTATCTCTCACTTTCAAAAGGATTTATGCCAGGTACCTGGAATGCGCCGACACACATAGTTGTCGTAGATTCTACGATTGGTTTGTCGCGTTTCCAGTGAACTGAGTCCTCGAGGCCAACGTCGCTCGTGGCAAAACTCCATGAGGCTGTCCAGGATGTGTGGCGGACAACCCGACTCGGACAAAGCGCGCTTGATCATGAGCTGTGAAAAGGGGAGTAAATTAAGTCTTAGTAAATTCCATTTCATGCATTTCCAAGGACTCACCTGCAGTGCATCATCGGGCGTAGAGATCATTCCCCCCCAGCGCGTGACCCTGGCTCGGGGCAGCGTGCTGCTCCAGCGGATCACCTCGTCGCGCTCCATCTGGTCGGCTATGGCTCGCATCGCAGGATTGGAGACGCGCATGGCACGCATGAAGTCCTTGAACAGCTGCAGTTCCCGCTTCAGTTCGTTGATGGTCAGCTGCTGATCTGTTAGCTCCGACTTGAGCTCGCCCATTTTTTCCGTCTGCTTGACAATCAGCGTGCGCAGTTCGCGTACGCAATTGTGATCCTTTAGCTCATCCTTGGGTATATCAAAGCCGCAGCCTTTTTCGCAGGGAAACGGACGCTTCGGATTGTGGATGCACTCCTCCAGATGCGAATTGTAGGCATCAAGCTTCAGCACAGCCGTGCAGCCGTATGGTGCATTGTCACAGGTAATTGACAGTCTGTGGTCAGGGTTCAAAGATTAATATTGCAGCAGGAGGAGGAGGATTGGGTGGCACTTACCTAGACAGTAGGTTGCGCAATATGCGCGGCACTGCCCGAAGATTGGCAGTCGTCAGGGCGTTGCGATCCACTGGACACGTGGGCTGGCGGGTTAGCCACTCATTAATGCAACCGCGACAGAAGGCGTGCTCACACATCACCGCCTGAATCGTTAAATATACATAAAATACATATGGTGGGGGGAACACATATGTGTACTTCGTGCAATGTACAAACAAAACAAACCTGAAGCGGATCCTCCAATACCCCGGAGCAAATCGGGCAGGTGAGCTCCTCGTCCACCTCCCCCTGAAAGCGGTTTACATCGTAGCCCATCTTAGGTTCTCTATGCGCTGGCCATCCGCATGAAGTTAGTTTTATTTATAAGTCTTTTCTGCGGATTGCAAAATCTTTCGCTGCGCTTGTTTCGTTTCAGTGTTGTGCAATGTGAAAATATCGAAGTGTTGGAAAGGAGTGGTGGCACACCAGCTATTTTATATCGCGAATGGATGTTTATGAATAAAAGAAAGCAGTGCAGACAAAACAGATTCGAATTTCAAGCAGTTTTTGTTTTGTATAAAAAGACTGCCTGACCGCGGAAACAGTACATCTGGTTAATTTAAAGTGTGCTTTTGCTTAATAGAAATGCAACAATATATTTCTAATAGAATTTAAATATTGAAAACTATTTTTATTTCTATTTCTATTGCCTCAAAAAATTATTAAAATTTTTCGATTTTTTGCCCAACAAAATAATATTTTAAAGTTTTTAAAAATCCTTTAAGAACTTAAGGGACAACTCCAAAATTTAAATTGACCTTATACATTGAAAATAAGTAGGTTTTCCAGCAGGGCCGGAGAAACAGTTTTGAGTGGGGTGATGACCTCACAAATTTTCAATATTTTTAATTTTAGTTTTGAAGCCGAGGGAAAAAGTTTTTTTTTTTACTTTTTTGTTTAAAATGGCCCTTTTCAATAAATATCGAATGAGTTGAGAAAAGTATGGTATCATTCAAACGGCATTTGAATTACCTTTCCATTGATACCAAAAGTTAAAAGAAGCAAGTTCAAGTTTCGAGTATATTTCACTTTTATTTTGTCAAAATATATATGCCGACCAGTGTATGATGGATCCTGAATTGAACAGAATATATTTTTTAAAAAATAATAAAAATGCAACAGGTAAAAAAACTATTTTAAATCTAAAATGTTAATTAAAATCCATTTAATATTAATATAATGTTAATTTAATGTTAAAATAATGTTAATTTAATATAATGTAAATGTAATGTTAACTAAATGTTAATTAAATTAATATGGCCACGTCAGCGACAATGATAATTAATTATTTGTTTCGTTTTCTTGCACCTATAATTCCCAAGTGGTTCTGGCTGATTCGTAGTGGGATACCCCTTGATTTTGGCCAATTTCTCAGTTCTCCGGGATGACCGGCAGTTTCTCCAAGAAACTTTTTCCGGTCTCTGGAAGTGTGTGTGTGTGCGTGTGTGCGTGTGTGTTAGTGACGTGGTTCCAGAGTGGGAGAGAGTATCTGGCCAACTCCTCCTACTGGAGTCCACTCCCGGATGCAGTGCATCATGGGTCGACTCCTCCTACTGGAGTCCACTCCCGGATGCAGTGCACCATGGGTCGACTCCTCCTACTGGAGTCCACTACCGGATGCAGTGCATCTTGGGTCGACTCCACCTACTGGAGTCCACTCCCGGATGCAGTGCACCATGGGTCGACTCCTCCTAGGATGCACTGCATCATGACCTGACTTGGCATGAACTTAAAGGTGCCCGATCCCTTCCTGCATGTAGTGGACTCCAGGATGCAGGGCATCCAAACCTGAAAAGGTGAGTTGCAGTTTTTTTTAATTATGTGATGACGTGGCTTTTGTAAAAAAAAGCAGTTAATTAATTCAATTTTTTTTTATATTTTTTTTTCAGGTTTTTGGTTGTGTATTTGGCTGATTGCAGAAAATAATTGGTGACACCATCCAACTTGTAACTTGAAGTTCGACATCAGGATGCACTGCACCAAAGTTATTACGCAGTGAGTACATCCTTTAGACAATAAATAATTAAGTTATATATTTTAAAAAATCATAAATATTTTGACAAAGAAACTAAAAGAAACAGATAAAGATCTGAAAGTTTTCAAGAACATGAAAGAAATTTGAAAGGTAAATTTTATCAAATATTGAACTTGAAGTACATGAAAATCAAACACAATTAATAATTGTAAACAAGTAGGGACATATAATATAAATATATAATTGTAAAAAAGTAGGGACATATAATATAAATATATATAGTTTATATATAGTAATAGTTGTAAGAACGCGGTTACCGGAAATATATAGTATGCTGACACCACATAAATGGACTGGACAACAGGCTGCAGGATCAATTATGAATGGCGTGATCTTCTATTGAACTCCACTCCAGGATGCAGTGCATCACCTCATTGGATTATGTATTTGTTAAACAACCGATTTGTATAAAATAATTTAACTAATTTTTTGGAATGCTTCTTTTCATTACAGGTGATGACTATACCTTTCTACTTGGAGTGTACTTCAAGATGCAGTGAATCAATAACCCAAAGAGGTAAATACCTTTTTTTACTAACAAAATAATTCTAACTATTATTATTTGTAACAAATTATTTATTATTATTTTTTTTTCTTATTTAATTTCAGGGTAAAGTGTTAAGTGTTAATGTTGCGAATAAAGTGGTTCCGGTGATTATCTTACTTCAAGAAGACGAAAGATTGCAGTGCAGATCAAGGAGCTAACTGAGTAAGTACCAATCTGAAAAGATTTATTTATGATAATCTCATAATTATTTAAGTAGTTGTTACATTAAGTTGGAAAATGCTTAACTTGGGAAGTATTTGGGAGAGTTACTATCTATCTATTTAAATAGAAACTGATTTAATTGGGCCGTGGTAAAGGCGGGATTTCTCTTCGTTTTTCTTCGGAGAAACAGTTTTGAATCATACATTCAACTGATAATAATGGATGTAAATAAATTTTTTTCTACAAGTCAAGCATTTTGGGGTGTTGAATTCCACACCCGCTAAGATTTGGCGTGTGGAGTGCTCAACACCCGGTATACACCTTCCGCCGGCCCTGTTTTCCAGAAAATAAGTTTTGCATAATCAATAACTAAGAACCACGTCAGTTTTAACATTTTCCTCCAAAAGACAAAAAATAGATATATAATAGTATATATATTATAGGTAAAAATATCAATGTATTTAACAGTCTGGACCGTTTGCATGCCACTATTTGGTATACAATTATGAAATTCGTCAAAGGACAATCCAGAGGATATGGACAGCCTTTCATAAACTAACACAACACAGGATAACGACAACATTTAACGCGCACTTATTCAGATACCCCTTGTGCCCCGCACCCTCAAAATAAGTGATCCTGTACTATATCTCGTTCCGATCCTTCCAGCCGTACTTTTGGCGCTGTTGTCGCTCCCGGCTGTTCCCCTGTTTGTTGCCATTGTAGGAGGAGGATGTCCTCGGCGGAGCACAGTAGCAGGATCTCTGCTGGGAGTCCAAAAACGAACGACATCCCAGGGTCAGAGTGCCCGTGAATAGCATTTTGGCAGCCGCCTTGCATCCCTTTATCATAAGATCGCTGGCAATGGACTTTTCGTAGCTATCACAGTGTTTGTAGAGACAGCGCTTGAAATCCAGGTCACACAACTCCTTGTCGCTATTGCAGGTGTCGTAGCAGATATCGTGGTCATTGCAACAGGTCTCCATTTCCTTGGCCGGCAGATAGTCTGTACTGATCCTTAAACCCAAGGATCCACAGCCATCCGCCGTGGGGGTATAGAACTTATTCTGCACCGCTCGAGGGGCTGTAAAAGATAAGAAAATGTACACACGGTTGCCGGGCAATTTACATAATTCGATTTGCGTCACACACCTGGTCCACCGATATCCGGAGCGGGGCATTGGTAAACGCAGTTCTCGTCCACTGCCGCATCGAAAACCTCATGAACCGTACGAAATTTGCGCACCAGAACAATCAGGTTCTTGAACACGTCACCGAATATTGCTTCCGCCGCAATAATGGCATCCCTTAGCTAAAATCCGGGGAGAGAAGATACAGGGATACAGATATCAATCGGTTACAGATTCGCAAAGAACTATCTCACATGAACTATTGTGCTGGATCCGTAGCCGGAATAGGCGTATGTGAGGAAAGTCAAGAGGTATATGGCCACCTTCATCCAGGAAAACTGCATTTTGTTTGTTCTATTGTCCGTTTCAGGGGAGATGATATATTTGTTGTGAGCACATAATAATAAACTATCCTAAGATTCTTCTAGCAGTGTGACCGGTGTAAGACTATAAAAATATACCACCCGGCTCAGGAACTATATGTTAAATGATGAGTTAAATAAATATTAAGAACGGAATTATAATTATTAGGATGGTGTTCACCTGTTACTTAACTGAAAATCAATGGATAATCAACAATAATTTAAAAAAATTTGGTGTCCTATAGTGGCGCCATCTGTTACACACTTAAATGCCAGTAGTCTGGCAGCACCTGAAACAAAGTTGTCGAACTATTAGGAGGGAAAATTCAAAAGTGTTCGGAAAAAAAAATAATTGTGTTCCATGGGAATTTGGAAAATTTTAAATAACATTGTAGTACTTACCGATATAAGCAAGTGCGTTTTAGCCAAATTAGGTATCCAATTCTTCCTTCCCAGCTGGTGGCAAAGTAAGTTGCATGTTGGAAATTAATATTAAAGAACGGAAGAAATTTAAATAATTATACCTGTCAGACTGGCGCGACCATGACAAGGCTTCCGGTCTGCGGACGGGACTTGCCACGCCTGCTTCGCCCACTCGAGGAGGAGGTGAGTGCCCAATGTCCTTGCCCTTGACAACAGGACTTGCAGCAGCCGCAGTGGCAAGAAAAATACACAAAAATAAAACACACAAATTAACACACAACCATGCTGACATCTCGTGCCTGCCGACGCTTAATTATAACATCAAATTGAAATGCACACGGCAATTGTGCGGCCCACCTGAAATGCGACTCTGGCACGCAGGCGTCACTCGTATTCGTTTGCACCTGACCTTGTTGGCCTTTATTACAACTGCCAACAAAATCAACATACATAAACATGCAAACGCAACACCCGAAAAGCGTTAACCCTTATGTTAGTAACCAACTTTACCGACGTCTTTTAGCAACCGGGTACCCGGGTACCCATAATTCTGAATATCAAAAATTTTGTTTATTTTATTAAAAAAATTTTTCCAAAATATTTTTTTCTTAAAATATTAATAGTAAGTGACAATATAAGGAAAAAAAAAATAGTGATGACGCTAAAAAGAAACCAGAAATAATAAATTTCTATAATAAATATAAAACTGGAGTCGACACAATGGACCAAATGGTGCGGAGATACACCAGTCAACGACGATCCTCGAGATGGCCAATGGCAATGTTTTTCAATATGTTAGACATTTCTTCACTTGCGACATATATAATTTATTCTAAAAAAATAATAAAATGATAAAAAAAAACGACAGAACGTCGTCAATTTATGCGTAAGCTAAGTGAGGAACTAGCATTGCCGATGATTGAAAATCGTACCGCGAATCCACAAATTATGCGTCACTTTTCAACAAAGATTGCCATTCAAAGTATTTTTGGCCATGCATTGACAGAAACAGTCGTGGTAAATCCTGGTCCAGAGATTCCAAAAGATAAAACCGGAAGAAAAATGGTTATAGGATCTTGCTATGTCTGCAATGCTTTTCCAATAAGAAGACGGCGAAAGACACGCAAGTTTTGTGCCAATTGTCGCCAACCTGTATGTGACGAACATTCAGTAAATCGTGTCCAGTGTGTTCAATGTAATTAATTATATTGCATGCATTTATAAAAATTTTATTCACTTTATTTCCTATGCTTTCCACTGTGGGTACCCGGGTACCCGGTTACTAATGAGGCGATGGCTGAAGTTTAAGCATAAAAAAATATAATAAAAAAAATATATATAAATTAAATGAACTCGCAACTAGCTTCCTTTTAAGTTAAAAAACGACGATTTAAGAGCTTAACATGAAATATCGAACTTGCTTTAAGCTTTTCACACAGATATACCGCGGGGGGTACCCGGGTACCCGGTTACTAACATAAGGGTTAAAGAGGCGCTTTCCCTGTTTGCTTACACTGGCAGAGGGCTCGTAAATACACAAAACATATTCCCCAGATTTTTTTGTTTCGCTAACGCCGCTGCCGCAAAGTCTACTGAAAACAAACAAACACTGAGGGAAAACACCCACCTCTATAAAATCGCACATAAACCTCTTCATTCGAATTGGTTTCTTGCCAACATTTGGCGATTCCGATTCAGGACTGCTCATTATTAGTTTTGGAAACTAAAAGCTTTAACCAAATAAAATATATACATTTTTTGTAATTTTTTAAAGCACATATTGTAATATTAGTTTAGTATAAATGTTTTCTAATAGCAACTAGAACTTTAGAAAAATGGGACTTCTTTAAATACAGTTGAAAAAGAAATGATTTATTAAAAGAAAAGGCTTTTTTATACAAGACATATTATTTTTGATGTTCTGCAGGTAACAATATATAAATATGTATTTCTTGGTTTTTCTTTTCTCGCTGACAAAACGTCTGCTCATGAAAACCCAACACTGAGGGAAAACCCCTACTGAACATTTTCAGTTTTATTGCCGAGAAAAATGCCTGCTTAATACAAACAAATCTCTTATGGAAAATTCGTTAGTAAAATTCAGGTAAAAATTGGAGGAACGAATATGGTGTCTAAAATGTATAGGTATAATGTAACATATCATTAACGTCAAATGGATAAAAAAAAATGTAATTATCATGGATAAAATAGTTTGACCGAATGAACTTATTATAATAAAAAAAATATACTTCTATAATATTGTTCTGCGCAATTAAAATCGGAGATAATCCTTTTAATATGCTTTATATGAGTTTCTTTCCTCGGAAAAAAGATTACAAGTTTTCACAGTTTATTATAGTAAAGATTTAAATGACCATCTTATCACTGTAGTTCTTGGGTTTGAAGTATTTTCTAAGATAAGAATCATTAAACTTATTATTTAAAGCCTATTTAAATACCTAATGGTAGTTAAATTTAAATTTATGAAGATTTAAGTTATAAGATGGACAGTAGAAATTTTTGTTCGTGTGTTTAACATGAAATATTATCTGTATAAAGACTTTGTGTTCCGTGGCGTTGTTGTCAATTAGCCAAACACAATATTCCGGCCGCCTTATCGCTGTCGCTGATTACAGTCGCTGCGCCATCCTGCGGCGATGATCCTGTTGCCGCCAAACCGTTTAGGCCCTCAAATGGAACAACACTCGAGGCACTTGGCCAAAATCAAACAGCCGCACACATGGAGAGCAAACGCAAACACAGCCACATCCGAGCATCCCAAAGCCATCTCCTCTTGGCCAACATCATCATCGCCGTCGTCATCATCGTTGGCCGTTTCCCCGCTGCCACGCCCCCTCCCGACGGCGCCGCCCCCTTTTCCGAACAACGACGACTGCGACGTCGACGGCGACGGCAACTGCGACGTCGAGAGCTGTGGCAAGCGATTCGCAGATTTTACGTTTCAGTTTCGTGCAAAACGTGGAAGCGGCTGGTCAACCCAGGAAAACCACCAGAGAACAAACAAAATCAGCCAAAGAAAATTGGAAAACTCGGCATTGGTCTAGAGGTTCTTCAGACTAACAAGAAACGAAAAAAAAAATTCAAATTGCCCGAACGTTAGATTTGATTAATTGCGGTTAGACGAAGTAGTTTGCATTGTGCTCGCTAAGCGGAGACCCACAAAAAGCTAAGAAAAACTGCAAGCTGCTCTGCAAAAACCGGAAATTCTAGATCTCTTGAATCTCACGATCCCAGCGTATAAACAAAACAAAGCGGCACTTTTTTCAACCAAAAAAACAAAAAAAAAAAAACAACAAGAAAAAGAGGCAAACAACGTAAGAAAAACCCACCAAAAAAGTGACACAAATAAAGCAAAGCGCGGTCGGTGTGTCCAGTCGATCTGGTACCTATAATACCTATAATACCCCCCAGATACTACCTATATACCTATAGCTCCCCGAGAAACGCTGAGTGTTGAGTTTATTTCTGTTTCTGTGTCGGCTTCGGCGGTTTTTCGCGTTTTTTTTTTCTTCTTGCTGGCCAAAAGCAAAGGAAAATCGACGGCAAAAGTCGTGGAAAATCGTGCGCTCTTAAAGTAACATATTTATTTTTAACAATTTCGCAAGCGTTCAAATTTTGCTCCAGCAAAAAATTCAGAACTCAGAAACCAGACAATCGCAACCAGAACAACAACAATAAATAGATCGGCGGCGCGATCGTTAAGGAAAACCAAAACAGCAGCGGCAAACGGCCGGCAACTTTGGCTCTTAAAATTTAGTTTGGTGAGTAATCGTTAATAGTGTAAAAAGCAGCAGCCAGCAGCTAAAAGCCAACAGCCAACAGCCAGCAGCCAACAGCAGCCAGCAACAAATCATAAATGTTTGCTTTCCAAAATAGAAACAAAAAGTGGAGATAAATTCGTTTTGATGATTAAGCTTTGAGTACTATAATTAGGCGATCCGATTTAATTAGTGCAATTAGCTAATTACACTTCACATAGAGAGGTAAATCTTAATATTTGGAGAGGAAAAGATACAAAAAGAGTGTCGGTGGTTAATGTGGTTTCTTCTCGCTTTGTAAGAAAGAGATTTCCGAGATCTTGCTAATGTAGTGATTAACTTTCGATCAGATGGGGGAAAATTAAAGTGGAGATTATGAAGATACTTTAGATGCCTTTCCGACATATTCATAATATGTAAAATAATCAAAATATAATTAGTTTTTGTGTAACAACAAGTTGCTCAGTTTCCTTTCCCCCATTTTCCAAATTTTATCATAATTTCCATGTAGTTGACCCCATTTAAATAGCCCTTCTTCATGACTCGCTTCAATAACTCTCAGCAAACTCAGCCAAGGACTTTCGAAATCAATTCCCCAACTTCCCCATACGCATAAAAGTTTCATATATTTTCATAGCCGAATTCAGTGAGTGAGTGAGGAACTAGCACAAGGACAACGGAAACACTTGCTCTATAAAAACAAATCCAAGACCATAAATCTGTTTGGCCCTTTTGCGAGTTCGAGGAACCCCTCAGAAAATATTCTCGTACTAAAACCGAGGAAGAAACAAAGCGTGTCGCTGGCTGTTATATGTATTTACGTTATGATTACATTTAGCCGGCATTATTTTTGACGATTATTGCCATTTGGGCTTTATTA